GACTGGTCACATTCAAGTAGTAGACATGTGTACCTATTGGCTATCACAAAAGAGCACATACCTAAAGAGAAATAGGTGAAATATGTTCAGAGGGTAGCAAGCAGAGCACTTGAGCTAGAGGACAGGTTTTATTCCTGGCAACAGTGGGAATTAGGATTGGAAAAGTAGATTAGGAACAGTGGAAGACTGAATGTTATGCTGTAAACAGTTTGAACTTTCTCCATTAATATTTTATCCTTTAACATTGACTCCTAACTTGCAACACAGTTAAGGAGCTTTAGGAGTGCCAGGTATGTGTGTTACTATGCTTCTCTGTACCCCGGAGCAGTACTGATGGGGCCCTAAGCATAATCACTGTTGAGTGAATTCTTGTTGAATTTGAGATCAATATAAACAGCTACAGCAGTTAATGGTTCCTTCCTGATCTCCACACAGTGGAAAAATCTTACATCCTCTTTGAACTAAAATAGGTTTTGGCATTGGACTGAATGCTGCCTGTAGGGAACAGGGGAAGGGGATGTTACCAGAACCTCTGCAGTAAGTCCTAGTCTCCTGTGAGCCATGGCAGCACACGGCGAATTACAGGAAAGGTAGAAAAATGAGACTGAGAAGAAGCTGAGCTTTGGGTCTGATCAGTGCTGCTCTGGGCAGCAAAGACAAAAACCCCCTAGCTTGCAGCACTTTTTATTCAGTACCTGGGGAAACAGATGTAACAAGTGAAAATGCAGAGTTCAGTACTTCACATTGGGATAAACAAGGTGTAACAGAAGACTGGGGGACAGTGGAAATCTAAGAACAATGAGGAACTATGCAGATGAAGATTTGGTTCCTCCCTGGTGTCTCCCACAGGTGTGGTCTTGTCCTGGAGCATTACAGCATCTGGGGATCACTGAGGTCTCAGTTGTGACCCAGGCCAAAATGCAATTATGTCTGGAATGTCGTAGCTGGCCTGTAGGCAGGAGAACTAGGCCTACTCAAATGATTTTTCCCTAGAATTATGTAGCATTGCTCCCAACAGCTGCCAGTATTCCCAAATTTAAGAATTGGTCCCAAGGATTCTTCCCAATAACCTCTTTAGAAAGCTCCCAAATTCAGCTAACATCACAATATAAAATTACTGTAAATGCTATCAAGGTATCCTTTTACTCACTTAGCAATTTGAAACAGTTTCTTGAAAGAAAAAAATGCTGCTCTGATTAGCCTTCATATGTGTATCTGTCCAGTGCCTTATAATTTATAAAATGCTTCCACATACATGTTAATGATGGAAGTAATGACTGCTTTTTACATACCAGGGATTAAGAGAGGATATTAAATTAAAATTGCAGAAAAAAAAAATACAATTTCAGCTGAAAAGCTGTAACAATCACTAGATTAGTATGGAATAATGGAAAGAACAATGGAATTGGCAAAAGAAGACCTAGGTTCAAGTTTCTATTCTACCTTTTTTTTTTTTTTTTTGGTACCAGGGATGGAACTCAGGTCCTTGTGCTTGCGCAGCAGGCAGCGAAACCACTGAGTTAAATCCCCAGCCCTCTCCTCTACCTTTTAAAGACTGATGATCCTGGGCAAGTTACCTTTCTGAAACTTAGCTTCACTACAAAATAAAGATATAGCTGGGGCCAATGACATACACCTGTAATCCCGGCTACTCCAGAACCGGAAGCAGAAGGATCACAAGTTCAAGACCAGCCTGAGCAACTTAATAAAACTATTTCAAAATAAAAAAGAAGACCTGGGGATGTAGCTCAGTGGCAGAAATGCAAGGCCCTGAGTTCAACATCATATATAAAATCAATGAGACATGGCCTCATTCTAATGAATACAGAATGGAAAATCTTAATGAAAATGTTTCTTATCAATGAAGCATCAATTAGCTAGCTACTCAACAGATGTTGTGCAGAGGGATTTAAGAAAATATGTTGGTTGAAAAAAAAAAATACGTTGGTGGGAATTGTGAGAACTGAGTGACTCCATTTTAAAATTTTGGCCCCATTTTAGAGTAAAGGTGGCCTGGACATAAATTCTAGTTCCAAGAAAAACCACAAGATGCACTTTGGCCACCTGCCTGTGATAATGTCCAGCAGTGCCCTAGCAACTACCCTAGCGACAGCTAATCGGTAGCTGCCTCAATGTCCCAGATGCTCTTCTCGATGGCCTGCAACAGCTAATCAGTAGTTACCCCAATACCCCAGTATCCCAGATGTTCTTTTCGATGACTTGAGCAGCTGTTTGCAGTTCAGCACGCAAGGCCCAGCCAATTAGGTTTAAACTTTCAAAACTTGCTAAATGCTAGCCAATTGTGTGATTTGAAACCCCGCGCCTTTTCGAAACCCCGCGCCTTGCTATAACCTCTATAAAAACCCCTGGTGTTTTACAGTCAGGGCTCTCAATCTTGACCCGCTGCGTTGGTGACAGTTGAGAGTCCCTGCTCGAGCTTGAATAAACGACCCTCGTGTGTTTGCATCGGAATCGGTTCCTTGGTGGTCTTTGGGGACCTCGCGATCTGGGCACAACAGAATGATGGCTAGATAACCTTAGATTGCTAGTTAAAACTAAATATTCATTTGTATGATACAAGGAATTTGGAAGATTTAAATTTGAACAAGAAAAAAAATCCCAGAACTCACTGCTTTCTATTTTCGTCTGCATTGCTACTCAGTGAGCTCATCCATTTCCGTAAGTTTAAATAATCACCTATTCACTGAAGACTCCCAGTTTATATCCTCAACATTGACTAAGCTTCTGGCACATACAACTGACTACTCATCCCACTCAGCTTTGATTTTCTTCCCCCTACTGGCCTCCCTAGTCTTCTCTAAGCAGATGACACCATCACCCACCCAAGTGCTCAAAGCAAACCCTGGGAGTCATCCATTCTCTCCCTGCCTGAAATCTAGTGCATTAGTTAGGTCCTGTCAGTCTACATATGAAATATGCCCAGAATCTGTCCACTCCATCTCTTCTGGTTCTAGCCACCAGCATCACATTCGCTGCCTCCCCTGCCCCCACCCCCAACCCCGCTGCCACACGCACAAACACAATCTTTTTTTTTTTTTTTGGTACCGGGAATCGAACTCGGGACCTTGCACTTGCCAGGCAGGTGCCATGCCACTGAGCTAAATCCCTGGCCTCACAATCTTTTAATAGAGTATTTTCTCTTCCCAGTACTGGGGGATGAACCCAGGGAATGCTGAGCTACATCTCTAGCCCCCACTCCCATTTTTCAGAGTCTCATCTTGCTCAGTTGCCCAAGCTGGCCTCATACTTGTGATCCGCCTGTCTCGGCCTCCTAAAATTACAGCCACAGGCCAGCACACCCAGCTCAGAGTGATGTTTTAAAATCTTAGATGAAAACATGTAGACTGGACATGGTGGTGCATACTTGTAATCCCAGCACTCTGGAAGGCTGAAGCTGGAGAATCACAAGTTCCCCCCCACCCTAGCCCAACTTGTGAAATTTAGTAATTTAAGGAGATCCTAAAACAAAACATACATAAAGCCCTTCATTTGTGCTTCCATCACACAGAAGAAAAGTCCAAGCCCCTATTAAGCCTACAAGGGACTCCTGGGTTGCTAAATATCACTTACAAACTAAAGACACAAGCCCCATTGAGGAAGACAAAACGAGACAGGACAAGATAATTGTTCTACATTGAAAGCAATTGTTCTTATCCCAGAACAAGGCCTGGCATGTTGGCTTGGCTAAATTTGTTTTGTTTTGATTTGGTTTGCGACGGACCGACCGGGTCTCCCTATGTAGTTCAGGCTGGCCTTGAACTCATTATGTAGCCCAGGTTGGCCTCAAACTCACTGCCTCAGCCTCCCCAGTACTGGGATTACAGGTGCGGACCACCATGCCCCCCAGAAGCCAAGTCATTTTTCATTTGCAAGAGATACTGGAAATCAAGATTTTTTTTTTCATTTTAGTGAAATTTTAAAACAACCATGAGGGCTGAAATGATCCATGGGCCCTCAGTTTCTCCTCAGTTTGTACTACTTCTCTAACTTTAGCTGCTAAACTCTTCCTCTCTACTTTCACTGCCTAGCTTTCTGGTCACAATGTCCCTTTCTCAGATGACATACACAGCCATCCCCCACCTCCTGTCCACTATCACACTATTTTAATGAATTCATATTCATTAAACTTTTTACTATCTTAGGTTAGTCACAACCTAAAATAATCCCAGGTACCTAATAGGGCCCAATAAATATCTGTTGAATGAATAATACTTCCACATGGGTGGAAGTTGCTTAGTAAAGTGATAAAAAAAAAAAAAAAGCTGACTCACGGGAAGTTGGAATCAATATAAAAAACAGGGTTGAACAGAGGGCTAAAAAATCCTTTCCTGCTATTTTTCTCCCTTATTTGTCTGACACATGAAATCTTTTCCTATGCTGAGCACATAGCAATGCAAGGAGGTATATACAACAGCCTCTAGAGTGCAATGGGCCACCTTGGCATTTAGCAGCTAATAGGAATTCCTCATGACACCAAGCAAGCAAAGAAGGATGTCCATATGTCAGCAGGAGCTCAAGGCAGCCCTGATTGTCTGGAGGCCTCTTAAGTGGAGAATGGGAGAAAGAAAATGATTCAGTAGCCGGGTAAGATCAAAGAGTCAGCAAGTACACACTGCCTCCCAGCTGCTCTCAGTCTTCACCAATGCATTTGTTTGCTCCTCCTGTCACTTGGCAGTCAAAGCCATTTCAGAGTGAATCTTTGCACTCAGCTATCCTTCACTAAAAGCACTCCCAGTCTCTCAGAGGAGGAACTGAGTTCCATCTGGCTGCACCTCCCCTGTACAACCCCATTTGGCGGGTTCTTTGCATGCTTGTGAGCCAGCAGTCACCTTTAGGGGAATGGAGAGGACTACACTGGGTCGTTGATGCTGGTGATGGTTGTTTTCCTTCTGTGTGTATTGTTTAATTGTCAAGCATGGTTATAAGGTGGCATCAATGGTCAGGTTATTAATAATAGCTACCAGTTATGGGATACTCACCATGTGTTGGCACTGTGCTAGGGCTTGACATATACCATCACCAATCCTCAAAACCTTGCATAGTAAATAATATCTTCCTTCTACAGATAAGGAAAACAGGCTCAGAACGAAGCAACTTGTTCAAGGCAATAATCCAAAATCTCCTATTTTCACTATTAACCTGCATCATTATTTGATATTGATGTTTATGTGCAGTGAGAATATTTTTTGTCATCAGTTTTCAACTTTCAACGTCTACTGGAGAAGTAAAACTAATTACTAACTTTAGATCTATAATGACTTGTCCAAGGTCACTTAGCAAATCTAGATGTAACCTAATTCAGTTACATCTTTCTATATGTAATAGTAAAATGTGGAAAATGGGACAGGATCCCCCAAAATAGCAAAACTTAGGACGAGGCAAGTTTGCTGTCAAGATTAAGGGTACTTAGTACTCATTAGAAACCTTGACTGAGCTGGGAAGTCATATTTTGTGAAATTTGCTATCCATTGATTCTTTCCACATACGCCTTACCCTGGCTTACCATTTTCTTCCGCAATGAAGTTTATTCCTTTGTGGTCTCTGATGGGAGGAAGAATGATGACTTCAGTTCCAGACATTCCAACTGGGAAAAACAGTTACACAGTGTCTGGGATCCACCAGTGCTTTGATTCAGATATAGTTTGTCATGTATCAAGACCTTGGTCCCCAGTGTGGTGATGTTGGGGAGTGGGTAGGATTTTTAAGAGATGTCGCCCATGAGAGGTCCTCAAGTCATTGGGAGCTACCCTTGGAAAGGATTACATAAGCACTCAGTGTTAGCTATCATAATCATTATTGTTACATAGCTTCCCTGTTCCAGAGCACTGTCGTTCCTCCATGTTGCCACCCCTAAAGGGTATCTGAAGAAAAATGAAAAGGGTTGGATGGGCAGTTTGCTCCCTTTGGGATAATGTAGAAGTAGCAGAGGACCTGTGTTAAATAATGGTATTTCCCAACAAGATGTAATCTCCTTTGCTCCCATTCATTTATCCCCTCTCATTTGTATATTTGACGTTTGCTAAGAATCTACCATTTGAGGGGTCCTGGGAATTTTCAAAGATGAATATGATGTTGAACCAAGGCATCTCAGTTTAGATCAGGGTTCTCAACTTCTGCAGTACTGGCATTGGGACCTAGATAATTCTTGGGAGTGAGTGTGGTGGGCTGTTCTGTGTATTGTAATGTTTACTAGCATCCCTAATATCAACCCCCAAATGCCAGGGCTACCACCAACACCACCCACTCCAATGTTAACGAAACATGACTCCAGACATTAACTATAATATATTCAGAAATATAATGTTTGTACAACACACTGAGTAAGTGGCAACTATTGGAGGGGACAACTGTGTGGTGGAGGGTTGAGAGAGGCTTCTGAGGATGTAAAATTTCAGCTAGGCTTAGAAGGATAAGCAAGACTTTACCAAGCAGTGAAGGAGGGAAGAGTACTGTGGACAAAGACAAAGAGTCACAGAAATACTAGTTCCAAGTCATGGAATGAAGTGGTGGGAGACAGGACAGAAATCCACTGGGGCTAAATTATAAAGGATCTCATATGTGGCCCTAAGGAGTTAAGGCTCCCACTCAAAAATCGAAAACAAGAATGGGAAAGGAGAAGAGCAAATTTGTTTCTGGAAAAGCTTTTTCTTCCACAGTTGGGGAATGATGATGATGACTGTCAAAACTGAACAATTCTTTCACTTAATTTGATTTTTCTTGCAGTTATGGGTGGTACTTCAAACCACAGGTTCTAGTCCCCTCCAAAGGAGACAGAGTGGAAAATGAGACATCTTCCTTTTTTTTTTCTTTTTTAGAACACCTAATACTTAAGGACTCTGAATTTTATTCCTTGTAGTAGTCCTAAAAGTTGCTTTTAAAACTCATTGTGGTGGGTGACCTCATGCCCTTTTTTTTTTTTTTTGTACTGGGGATGGAACTCTGTTTCTTGCACTTGCAAGGCAGGCGGCGGAACCATTGAGCTAAATCCCTGGCCCTTCTCATGCCTTTTTTTGATGTGTTTTTAATTTTTAAAAGGCTTAATTATAAAATATAAGCATACATAGGGCCGGGGATTTAGCTCAGTGTTCCGGCGCCTGCCTTGCAAGAGCAAGGTCCTGAGTTTGATCCCCAGTACCAAAAAAAAAAAAAAAAAGACCATTGTTTCCCAATGAGAAATGTAATTGTGTTGTATACCTAAAATGTACCAATAAAAGAATTTAACAACAACAAAAAAAGCATACATAAAGGTGTAGAAATGTAACATAACAAATGACCTATACCTACTACCCAGAAATTTAAGAATTAGAAAACAAATGAAACAGCTAAAATCCAAGTTAGGTTAAGTAGTCAGATTCTGCTTGACCAGACATTCTTCTGACACATCCCAAAGGCAGCTCAGGATTTTAAAGTAAGAGAGTTTAAATTTTGGATAAATGCTTGGGTAGGTAGACACCTACCAGCACTGACACTGCCAGCATCTGCAGTATCAGGCATCAGTGCGCAGGTTTTGGACAAAGGGTTACCTCACTCAGCCCAAACTGGCCCATCTCTAAGACAATGATTCCCTTACCTAACTACCTCCAATGCCCTATCCTGGCTTATTCCAGGAGATTCTATGTTGCTGGGTCTAAGTGAGGCACTGGAAGTAGCACCCTAAACAAGTTCTTTAGGTAATTCTGCAGTGGCAGAAACCAGTGCTTGAAACTATAAATCTACCAACTTATCTGATCTGTTGAGATAATGATGGAACCTGCTTCTTAGTCTTCCTGTATCGGAGGGTGATCAATCCGCTGACTGCCTAGAAAGGGGGGTGGCAAGGGCTACAGAAAAAAAGACTACAAAGACTTACATAATTTCAAAGTATATGGGGGGCTGGAGGTCAGTGCCTCGAAGTGGGTAGAGATAGAAACTCTCTGAACTAGCCATCATTTATTGGGTACGCAGAGGGAATCCTATGTAGATGAGGATCTTATGCTGATGAAGATCTTAGGTCACAAGGTTCTTTTGTTGAGGAGGATTGAAGGAGAGCATTCTTACAATAGTAGGTGGGAGGAGTTAAGCTGATAAGGAATTTGTCCCTCCTCAGGTGAAACCTTTCTCTTACTACTTGGTTCTCAAGGAACCAGGATGTCTTTAGCTGATACAATCCTGCCCTGGAGTGTAACAGCATCAAGGGAACCACTGAGGTTTGAGGTTTCAGCTGTGATCAGAAGCAAAAATGGAGTTATGTCTTGACATGCCATAGCCGGCCTGCAGGGAGGAAAACTAGGCCTAATCATAATTTAATTGTAAAATGATTTTCCCCAAAATTATGTAGAATTGCTCCTGAGATTACTACAAAGATTTTTTTTGTATTAAATTCTTTACTACAAAGATTAAGTAAACACAAACACACATTTCTCAGTGTCTGTCACATACAAAGCACCAATAATACTTATTAACAATAACATGCACTGAGTACTTCTCTAGTGTCAGCTTTCATAAAAGGGTCTGCAATAAATTCAAATGCAATGTAGCAGGATTCAAAATCAATACACAAAAATCAATAGCATTCCTATACACTAATAATGAACCCACTGACAAAGAAATTAGGAAAAAATAGCACCAAGAAAAATTGAATACTTAGCAATTAACCTGAGGAAATGAAAGACTTCTACAGCAAAAACTACAATACTTTGAAAGACAAAATTGAAGAGGACATCATAAAATGGAAAAATATCCCCTGTTCCTGGATAGGCAGAACCATACTTCCAAAACTGATAAGCAGATTTAATCCAATCCCAATCAAAATTCCAACATCATTCTTCACAGAACTGGAGAAAACAATCCTAAAACTCATATGGATCCAGAAAAGACCCAGAAAAGCAAAACCAATCCTGGGCAGCAAAAGCAAAGTGGGAGGCATCACAATCCTGGACTTGAAGTTCTATTACAAAGCTACAGCGACAAAAATAGCATGGTACTGGTACAAAAACAAACATAAAGGATCAATGGAACAGAAAAGAGGATACAGAAACAATCCCAAGCACATTCAACTATTTGATCCTTGACAAAGAGGCCACTAGAGGGAAGATAGCCTCTCTAATAAATGGTGTTAGGGAAACTGGTTATCCACGTGGAAAAGATTGAATTCAGACCCTTATCTCTCATCATCTTCTAAGCTAAAATAAAAATGGACCAAAGAACTACAGACTAAAACAGAAACATTTAATTTGCTGGAAGATAAAATAGACAAAAATCCTTGAAATCATAGGCATAGGCAAGGACTTTCTGAACAGAACCCAATTGCATAGGAAACAGTACCAAGAATCAATAAATGGGGTCACGTCAGATTAAAAAGCTTCTCCACACCAAAAGAAACAACCAATACAGTGAAACCTACAGAATGGGGAAAAAGTTTTTCCTCAAACAGAGGAAAAGATATTCCTCAAACAGAGGAATAATATCTAGATTATAAAAAGAACCCCAAAACATTAGATTCCCAAAAATAAAAGACCCAATCAAAAAATGGGCAAGTGAAATGAATTGACACTTCTGAGAAGAAAAAGTATAAATAACCAATAAATACATGAACAAATGTTCAATACCACTGGCCATTAGAGAAATGCAAATTAAAACAACATTGAGATTCCATCTTACCCCAGAAAGAATGGCCATCATCAAGAAATCAAATAATGGCCAGGGATTTAGCTCAGTGGTTCCACCGCCTGCCTCACAAGCACAAGGACCCAAATTCAATCCCTGGTACCCCCCCCCCCAAAAAAAAAAGTTTAAAAGAAATCAAATAATAACAAATGGTGGCAAGGCTGTGGGGGTAAAAAAGCAACCCTTTTACATTGTTGGTGGGCATGTAAACTAGTACAATCACTTTGGAAATTAGTATTCAAAAAAACCTTAAGAGATTCCATTTGACCCAGCTACTCCCTTTTAGATACCTTCCCTAAAGAGTTAAAGACATCACATTACAGTGATACATTCAAACCTGTGTTTATACCAGTACAACTGATAATGCTAAATCTGGGCAACAGCCTGTATGTTCATGAACAGATGAATAGATAAAGAAAATGTGGTATTTACACACAATAGAGTACTACTATGCCATTTATAAGATTGAGTCATTTATAGGAAAATGGATGCTCCTTGAGACCATAATGTTAAGTGAAATAAATCAATCTTTCTCTTATATGAGAAACCCAAATTATAAATAAAACAAATAAAAGATAAAATGAAGTAGGGCTGGGGATTTAGCTCAGTGGTTCTGTCGCCTGCTTTTAATCCCCGGTACCAAAACAAACAAACAAAACAAAGGTATGTATGTAGGTATCTAGATAACAGAGTGTACATTTTCACAACAATTAATTCAAAATGGATCATTTGTAGAACTGAATGTAAATTGTGAAACTATCCCACTTCACCATGAAAACTAATGTGCTGAGAAGAAAACAGATGAAGTTTACACATGTAGTGATAGAACATAATTCAACCATCTGTGTTATCACAAAGCCCATTTTCCTCCACACTTACATCATTCTCCTCCCTTGGAAGAGCAGTCCCCCTCCTTCTAAAGAAACAACAAGTGCCAGCTTCTACATCTACTTCCACTACACAGCAGGGGACCCGACTCAGAGATCACTGGGGTGCCATGGAGCTCTAGTCAAGCAAAACAATCACTAGACCCTGAGCCTTTTTGCAAATTTACATCAAACATTGTTAAAGACACCATAAACAACCTCCTAAGGGATCTTAACCACTTTCAGACTTTCATTTACCCATTTCACATTTCAGTCACTCATGGGCTTCATTTGTTTATTCAGATGGTCACCACAGAAATATATGCTGTGCACTGCGATAAAAAGACACAGAAGAGCCAGGCATGGTGGTGCATGCTTATAATCCCTGCACCCTGGGCAGCTGAAGCAGAAGGATCTGAAGTTTGACCCAAGACTGTACAATTATTGACTTAGTGAGACCCTATCTCAAAATAAAAGCTAAAAAACAGCTGGGGATAAAACTCAGTGCTAAGGCCCTGGTTTCAATCCCCAGTACCAAATAAATAAATAAAGATTCATAAGGCACAGATACTACCCTCCACAAATAGGTCTTAAATCCAGGGGCAGTGCTGTCCAACAGAAATAACAGGTATGATCACAAAATATACAATGAATGTTCAAACTTTTGAAAATTACAGTAAAAGGCACATTGCCATTAATGTTCCTTGAAATACTTCCCCTTTCTTCTAGCACACTTATCCTATCATTCTTGACACTTTCTGAAGCAGTTCTAGAAGTCCTCTTTCATGAATGTCTTTAGTTGCACTGTCCTGGCTGTCTTGATGTCCTGACCTGATTCAAAACACTTGCCTTTCATGGTCATTTTGACTTTGAATAAGAGCCAGAAGTCCCGGTGCCAGACCTGGTGAATAAGGCAGGTGAGGACACACTAATGTTTTCAGGAGCCTGTTGTCTTTCTGTTGGTTGGCACTAGGCAGCAGCATCCACCTTACTTTTGATCACACCTTTTAAAGACACTCACAAGAGAGGACTTGCAGAACTGCTTCAGAAAATGACAAGAGCTGGGTGTGGTGGCACACACATGTGTGTAACCCCAGGACTCAGGAGGCCCAGGCAGGAGGACTGCTGAGAGTTCAAGGCCAGCCTGGACTACATAGTGAGTTCAAGGCCAGTTTGAACTACATGGTGAGATCCTGTCTCAAAAAACAAAGGCTGGGGATTTGGCTCAGTGGTTCCGCCGCCTGCCTCACAAGTGCAAGGTCCCAAATTCAACGATCCCCGGTACCAAAAAAAAAAAAAAAAGAAAGTGGCAAGAAACATGGAATAAGTATGTTCAAATTGAAGAACATTTTGAGGGGGATATGTCTTTTACTGTACTAAAACTTTTTAAAAATTTAAACATTCACAGTATATTTTGATCACTACTGTATAATGTAAGTGAAGTATGCAGTTTCATATTTTCCAGCTGCTAGTTTCAAAAAGTAATAATAAAACAGGTGAAATGAATTTGAATAATTTATTTAACCCAACATTTCAAAAAAGATCACTCAACATGTAATTAGATTTTTTTTTTTTGGTGCCAGGGATCGAAGGAAGATTTTTCAAATAAAAATGTAGTCAGTGCAGTTGTAGAGATATGTTTAGAATCACTGGAGTTAGGGCTTGGGTGGGCTTCCCAAGACCTTCCATTTCCAAAGCCCCTATTCATTCTGCAGCACATTAGAGAAAAGAGAAAGAGGCTTTATCCCACTTCAAACAGTGGATTCACAGTCGGCCTCAGCCATCCAAATTTAATATACCCAAAACAAAATTCATCCTTTTACCCCAGTATCTCCTCCCCTCTCATTTCCCTTTTTTTCTTTTTTTTTTTAAATACAGTCTCGCTATGTAGTTCAGGCTGGCCTCAAATTCCCTGCAATCCTCCTGCCTCAGCCTCCCGAGAGTGCACCACCATGCCCAATTCCCCTCTCATTTTCTAGTTCAATTGATAGCCTCATTATCTACTTGCTTTCTCAAGTCATCCTATCTCAACTGATAAATGTGCCCGTTATTTAGAAGACAATTTGGAAATTTAAATGATTTTCAAATACACAACCTCTTCTCCACTCAACAACTGAATTTGTTTAGCCCATCTGCATCTCTTACGTGGGTCACACTACAAAAAGCCTTGCCTGTTAACCCTGTACAGCTTCAACAGTTATCACCACTCCTCAGGACCCTACACCACGCTCCCGCTCCCACAGAATAAAGGCCAGAGTCCTCAGCACACAGCCCAGAATTCCCTCTGGGATCTGTTCTTTGCTTACCTAACAAGGCCCAATTGCTTGCTCTTTCCAGACTCTGAATAGTCACTTTCCTTTTTTGAGGCTGGTATTGTTACAGAAACAACCAACCCCAAGTCTCATAAACAGGACTTCAGATTTAGGAGAGTACACTCAAACAACACATAACCAAGGGGTTTTTCTTCACAACTGTCCTTCTTCACACTTTGTACCTATCTTTCTACTATCTAGTTCATGCCTCTCCCAGTCCTTCAGTCACTGAATATTTGCCATATGTCAGGCACTGGGCGGGACACGTAGAGGGACATAGAAAACACAGGTCTGACGCGATCTTTGCGTTCCTCAAGCTTTCTTTTTTTTTCTTTTTTTTTTTTTTTTGGTACCGGGTATCGACCTTAGGACCTTGCGAACCACTGAGCTAAATCGCCAGCCCATCCCCAAGCTCATTACAATAGTGTCTCACCCAACACCTTTAAGGACTGATCTCTAACAATTAAGAGAAAGTGTAAGGGATTTCCCCGGAAGTTTGGGCTGCGGAGCGCCTTTAGGAGCACCAACCCCACAACACACTGCAAAACCAGACCCAGTTCCACGTGGCGGCACGGAGGCGGGGCGTGTCACGATACGCTGCTCTGCCCTTGGCTGTTGCGCCTGCGTGCTGCCGCCCTCTCAAGGACCCGTATTTAAAGAGACAGGCGCTCCAACCGCCATGGGCTGCCCGCGGCCTGTGGGCGCCTGGTCTTGAGCCCTGTCCCGAGCGCCGGAGCCCGGGAGGTAAGTGAGGGTCGGCGCGGCGGGCGCAGCTTGGGGAGGGAAGCAGCCCGGAACGCGGCGCGGCGCGGCCCTGGAGCAGCCCCGGCTCCTCCCCCGCCCGCAGAGCCAGGGGGCACACCCTCGCCGTGACGTGGCGGCCCCCCGGGAGCCCTCTGGAGGCCCTCGGCTCCCCAGGACCCGAACCGCGTGGGTAAGCGGGTGCGCTTTGACGGGGCTGGCGAGCTCACGCGTCCCGCCCGCGCACGTCCCCCACGGCAGCTCCGCCGGTCCACGCCCCTCCGCCCCGGTGCCCGCCCCGGTGCCCGCCCCGCCACGCGGCCCCTGTCGACTCCCCCAAGGCTCCGCGGACGTTCCCCGGGAAGAGCAAGGAGGCCTCTCGCGGCCCTGGTGGGCGGATGGGACCGATGGTCACGCACAGCCGCATTGTGCCGCCTCGTGGCCCGGCGCCCAACGAGCCTCCATGTGTCTGCTCCTTTCATTATTCTCCTGGATCGTGCCGGGCTTGGAGGGGCTGCGCTCTAAGGCGACCCTCTAAGGACAGCCATGAAGTCCGGCTGATTCTGAATGCTGCCATCCTTACCCCGCGGTGCTTCTTAAACTCGGGGTTATGCTGCGCTTTGTGAATCTCACGAAAGTTACAGACCTTTCCCCCAAAACGTACATTTTTAAATGTACATACTTGTCTATATTTTCAGGCAGTTAAGAACCCAACCCGCCCCCCCATCCAGTCCATGGATTCATTGTAATTTTCCCAGCCACCCCGTGAGGTAGGTCTTATTTCCTCTGTTACAGAAATAAGATAACTGAGGGGTCTGGGATTTAGCTCATCCTGCCTCGAAAGCGCAGGGTCCCGAGTTCGATCCCTGGTACCAAAAAAAAAAAAAAAAAAAGATAACCAAGACTAGGGAGTCTCAGTTAAGACTCAGTTGAGTAGCAACCCCAGGTTGGATTGGCAGGCTTAGGCTTGCTTTCCACCTCTGATTGCAAGGTCCTGCTTTGCTCTGCACCTGTGGCACTGTAGTAAGGGACGCCCACACTTTATGTGGCAATAGCAATTTCACTTCATAGCCGTATACAGACTGAAAATAACTTCTAGTATATTTAATATTAGAACTATAAAGATTTTCAAAATATGAATATAAGGTGTGGATGTAATCATTGTTTACATTTAAATTTATTTATCAATTCCTTTGATTCTTACTGTGCAGTTACTTCAGCATTCCCTACAGAATTAAACAGGTTAATTGTACATAAAGAGCCTCTGCTTAAAACTTAACATCTTCACTGATGACAGTAACATCTAATATTTATTGAGCCCTTGCTTGTGTTCCCAACTCTGTTTTCAAGGGCTTCACTTATTTAGAGTAACAATCTCCTTAGTTAGGTGCTATTGCTAGCTGTATTTTACAGATTAGGAAACTGAGGAACAGAAAGGTTTAAGTAACCCACCAAGGAGACCCAGGTAATAAGTGGCCAGGCTAGCATTTGAGTCCAAGCAGTCTGGTTGTAGGCTCTGTATAGCTGCCTCTCAAAGAAAAGCTGCTGTTTAAAGCACAAATCTGTATAGTGGCTTGCTTGTTTTCTGAGGATGGTATATGTATTGTACTTATGAAAACTTCATGAACATAATTAATTTTTCTTGATGATTAAAAAGAAACTTCAGGATCTTTTAATACTTAAAGGTCATCATCCATTATGAGTATCACATATTGTGATGGGCTGAAAAAGCTTTTATGTTATTTGGATTCTCTTCATTGCAATTTAGTAGATTTATTTGTGTACATTAGATAATTGAACACCCTTTCTGAGACTGGATTTTCCTGTATTGAAACACTTCATCCTAGGCAATAAATCTTTAATGCTTCGGGAAGTATTTGTTTAGTCAGCAAGGACTGTATGAGATTCTGGCCTTTGAGAATCTCTCTCTCCCTTTTTTTTTTTATTGTCTCCTACTTTTTATGCAGCTATATGACTTTGACTTTCAAGATCCTCTTCTCACGAAACCTCCAAGCACTTGGACGAAAAGAGCTGTGTTCATTCCGAGAACAGTCTCATTGGTCTGGCATAAGACAGCTCAGTAGTTGGTCAAGAACAGATCTGCTTCATGGGCACTTCCTCCTCCAGAGAAGAAAGCCTATTCTGCCTTTGCAGGGAGGCCATCTAAGACCACAAGCCACCTGCTTCATTTTCTTGCCAGGGTCGCATGTGGGACTCTGCAGTGGCCCATGTGAGATGGCTGAGCAACGATTCTGTGTGGACTATGCTAAGCGCGGCACAGCTGGCTGCAAAAAATGCAAAGAAAAGATTGTGAAGGGCATATGCCGAATTGGCAAAGTGGTACCCAACCCATTCTCAGAATCTGGGGGTGATATGAAAGAATGGTACCATATTAAATGTATGTTTGAGAAACTGGAGCGAGCTCGGGCCACCACAAAAAAAATTGAAGACCTCACTGAGCTGGAAGGCTGGGAAGAACTGGAAGATAGCGAGAAGGAACAGATAACTCAACATATTGCAGGTGGGGTGGAGAACACAGCGTTCTCATCTTGCTGGTGCCTATAGAAAAAGGAATGCAGAGATTGGAATCTAGTTTTTTTTTCCTTTTCTTAAACTTCTTTGGAAATAATGTTAGATTCACAAAAGTTATAAGAATAAAAATAGTGCAAAGAACACTCATGTTCTCTTTACCCAGATTGTTAATATTTTACTCTGTTTACTTTTTATCATTTATGCTCATGTACCCTCTTCCCTTACACACATACACACAGTTCTTTTAGTTTTGTTTCCTGAACCATTTAAAAGTAGGTTGCATACATCATGGTCCTTTATACCTTTAAATACTTTAGTGTGCCTTTGTTTTTTTGCAATACTGGGGATTGAACCCAGGGCCTTCGCACTGAACTATATCCCCAGCCCTTTTTTATTTTTGTTTTTTCATTTTGAGACAAAGCCTTACTAAGTCTCTAAATTGCTTGGCTGGGCTCAAAATTGCAATCCATTGCCTCAGTCTCCCAGAGTGCTCAGATTATAGGTGTGTGCCACTTTGCCTGATTCAGTGTATAGATTTTAAGAATAGAAATATTATCTTCCATGACCATCACATAACAACTTAAGTAAACTTACCCTTCATATAATATTTTAATATACTATCTGTATACTATTTGGTCTATTGATTGAACATTATCTTTCAGAGCTTCCCCCCTACTTCCACCAGTATAGGATCCCAGATTAGGATCAGATTGGGTATTAAATTTTGTTGTAATATCTTTTTGGCTTTTTTTTTTAATCTGGGACATTTCCATAGTCTTTATGACATTGACATTTTTTTTTGGTACCGGAGATCGAACTCGGGTCCTTGGGCTTGCACAGCAGGCGGTGAAACCACTGAGCTAAATCCCTGGCCCCAATGACATTGATGTTTTTGAAGAAAGAGTATCCACTGCCACTCCTTTTTAATCTATCAGTGTATTATGTATATAGACTTATGGGTTACTAATTTTTCCTAGTAGTTTATAATTCATTGTATTAAATTTAGTTTTTAGTTGTCCTGTATTTGGTCAGTTAGCTCCTTCAGCTGGCTTCTGTGTCTTGTAAACCCTCTCTTTATTTATTTATTTATTTAATTTTTTCTTTATTTCTTTTTTTATTTTGGGGAGAGTACCGGGGATCAAACTCAGGACCTTGTGCTTGTGAGGCAGGCAGCAGAACCACTGAGCTAAATCCCCAGCCCCTTTTATTTATTTGCTTGCTTGCTTATTTATTTACTTACTTTGTGGTGCTGGGGAGTGAACCCAGGACCTCTGCTATGGGCTTTTCCCCACCCCTTTTGTTTAATTTTGAGATAGGGTCTTACTAAGTTTCCCAGGCTGGGGTGGAACTTGTGATTCTCCTGCCTCAACCTCCCAGAGGACTGAGATTACTGGTGTGTGCTACGAAGCCCTACTCACCCTTCTTTTTTAAAAAAGTGTTTAAACCAGGTATGGTATAACCCCAGCATTCTGGGAGGCTGAGACAGAGGAAAGACTGCAAGTTCAAGATCACCCTGAACCACATAGTGAGACACTGCTTCAAGAAAACAAAAAGAAAAAAATTTGAAAGTTTTTCTTTTGGCTTTTTGAGACAAGGTCTTGCTGTGTAGTTCAGGCCAGCTTTGAACTCACTGTGTACCCCAGGCTGGCATCAAACTCTTAAGTGATCCTCATCCTTTAGCCTCCCAAGTACTGGGATTACAGGGGTGAGTCACCATACTCAGCTGAAAAATTGTTTTAAAGTACTTCTGTACTCAGGCATAACTAGATGCTTTTGGTCTTGTCTTATATGTGTCCTAATCTATCCATTGGATCAGCCATTGTTCTGAGGAGTCTCAGGTTCCTATTAATGAAAAATGGTATTAGAGACAAAAATCTGAGCCAGGTGTGGGACACTCCTGTGATCCTAGTACCTGGGAGGTTGAAGCAGAAGGATCACAAGTTCCAGTGCAGGTTGGGCTACATAATGAGCTTGAGGCTAGCCTGAGGTATGCACACACACATGTGCGTGCAAATCTGAGTGCTGCAGGACCTCTTTGACCTTAAGGGTCTGTAAAATAATATATCTTCAGTTAAGTATAGTACATGCCACTGTTCGGGATGGAACAGTAGCTTAAAATTCTATCCTTGTTCCTTGAGGGGAGAGAGTTCCAGGAGAGAAAAGTATAACACATATGCTTCATTCTCAAGTTCCCCACCCACCCTTCCCTGCCTTGGCTCTTAGCCTCAGTCTTTTCTGTTTCTTGACCCATCTCTCATTCAGAGGAAGAGAAATACATACAGGTAAATTGTCGCTTTACTCCTATAAGTTAACAGCTAGACTTTGCCTGCCTATGCCAACTGGACATACTCTGTGATCTTTGTCTTTTTGCTTCATTTATAAATTAGAATTATTCTATGCACCTAGGCTTTCCACGTTTTATCTATCACAATATGATTGCTGATTTCTTTAAAATCCTGTCACTTCTGGAGATTATTGTATGTGGGATAAGAGGTGAAGAGCGCTGGTGAAAATTTAAGTTACTTATGGGGTAAATGGTAACTGGGTCTCTTCTCTGCATAACAGCCTTTCCTTTCCTCTGCCCAATACCCTGTTACCTGTTGCCTTCACTCAAAAAGTACAGCCAGTGACCAGCCAGCCTTGGGGCAGTGTGATAGTGACTTACTAAACTCTAAGAGAAGTGGATAGAATCTTTGGAAGCTTCCTCGGAGATCTTTCACTGAAGGATATTTTTCCTTTTCTGGGGGCCCTACAGATCTATCTTCTAAGGCAGCAAGTACACCAAAGAAAAAAGCTGTTGTTCAGGCTAAGTTGACAGCCGCTGGCCAGGTGACTTCCCCAGTGAAAGGCTCCTCATTTGTCACCAGTACCAATCCCCGGAAATTTTCTGGTTTTTCAGGTAAGATAAATTGGGGCTACTTCAGTTTTTATGGTCCTCCTTTTATTTGGGGCTCTCACTAAATGAAAATTCTGTATTGTCTAGTCTCATTAATTTGTTTCTATCTGGACAGAAATAAATAATGGCTAATTATTAGTGCTCCTCTCATCTCCAGTGTAACAGGCAGATGTTTGTTGTGTCAAGATTTTTACCAGGCCAGGGATTTAGCTCAGTGGTTTCACTACCTGCTGCGCAAGCGCAAGGACCCAAGTTCGATCCCCGGTACCAAAAAAAAAAGATTTTTACTACTTGAAGTTATTGCTTGGATCAGACAGAATTTTATCACTTGCCCTTTACTTCTGTTTTGTAATAAAAGAATTTTGAAAAATTATCTCCCTAAACTTGGCTGAATTAGAAATGAAAGTATGGAAAAAGGAAAATTTCATGTCTGGACAATATCACTTGATTTCTCTTAGTTCTTACAACTGTTTGTTCAGATGCTGGGAGTGCTTGTGGAGCATGGAGCAAGAAGGAAAAAGAGATCTGAAGGGTTTTGTTCTTTGTTGGAAAGCAGTGCAGCCTAGTGATGAAGCACGTGGACTTCAGAATCACTGGGGTTTTTTTTTGTTTTTGTTTTTGTTTTTGGTACCTGGGATTGAACTTGGGTCCTTGCGCTTGTGCAGTAGGCAGTGAAACCACTGAGCTAAATCCCCAAACCACTGAGCTAAATCCCTGGCCCAAAATTACTGTTTCTTAGACAAGGATTCTAACTTTGCTAGAGCACTTGTGGGGGAATTGAGAGGACCAGGATTATTGGTTCCCCTTCCCCAACAGATAGTGTTGACCTAGGACAGTGATGGTGAACCTTTGGTATTCATGCCACAACTGGCTGTTTGTTATCTTAAAGCTCTGAAGGGTTCACCATCACTGGTCTAGTGGCTGTTATTTGTTCTTCAGTTAATCTAGGAAGTACTTTCTTACACCCACTTTATGAATGAGAAAGCCGAAGTTCAGATTCCTGATGGAGTTGGTATTTGCATTGAAGTTTGATGCCAGTCCCTGTGTTCTTTTACTCTAAACCCTGTTGCTTATTTTATTGTTTGAGACATTTTTTTTGATTGACTCAGTTAAAGTCAGTAATAATGCCGGAGCCCTTGGACTCAGAAGCTCTTTGGAGATTGAGAAATTTTATGTAGTCAAAAGAGATATAGACCTCGGCCAGGAATTAAGCTCAGTGGCACCTCGCTTGCCTCGCAAGTGCAAGGTCCTGAGTTCCATCCCCAGTACCAAAAAAAAAGAGATATAGACCTGAAGTCAGAAGACTTGGGGTCTGGTCCCAGCACTCTTGCTTGATACCTTGGAATTAAGCAAGACTTCACATATCTGGGCCTCTGTGGCTTCATCTGTGAATCAGGAGTGGCAACATCTGCCTCATCTACCCCAGTGTTCTCATGAGGATTTGTAAGAAATAACTGCAGAAATAGTGCCTGACTTTATAGGATTTTTTAAATTTTAAAACTCTGACGTTTGTTGGTTGTCTGACAGTAGACCAAAGATAAAAAGACAGAAGGGTTCAGGTGATGATCAGGACAGCATGATTCTGAGAGGGCTCTGGTCTTAGGGATATCTGTTCCCTAATCCTTGGGATAATCTTATCTCTGATATTTTAGGGATGGAATTTGGGAGGAGTTAAAACAAGGAGTTCTCATTCTTAAATCCTGTCTAAACTGACATTTCAGATGTTTTGTCCCCTAAGGTCTGATTTAGACTCTAGGTCAGAGATGATAATGGATTTATAATATTCAAAGCCTAGATATGAAGTTTATATCAGCAGTCAGCTTGATAATGGTTCTGCTTTTTTAAAAAATTAACTTTTTTGAGACAGGGTCTTGCCATGTGGTTTAGCTATAGTCCACTCTAGCCTCAAACCAAACTCATAATGATGATCCTCCTGTCTCAGCCTCCCAAGTGCTGGGATTACAGGTGTGTGCCACCACTCCCAGCTTGACTCTACTTTTGCTTTGTAAATAGTCACTGGAGGTGAGAGGTAATCACTAAGAGTTGGCATAGTTATTTTTAGTGTCTGGAGGAAAGCCCTGCTCATTGACTACTTTTTTATTTTGACAGTAAGAAAGGTTAGAGTGCTAAGAGGAGGGAATGTTGAGACCTGACTTGGTTGGTAGTATATTTGTCCTGTGTCTGCCACCAAGGACCTAGATGATCCTGGAAATCATCTGCTCTTTTTGGGCCAGGGTCTCATCAGAAGGAGGTCATTGAAGTACATTATCTTTCAGACTTCTTCCAGCTCTGACAGTCTGTGATAGCAATAAATTCACATTCACTAACATGTCCCTTGATTTCTTCTCCCTTTCTCATCTCAGCGTTTCTAGGGTATACATTACAATTAGATCCTCCTGACCTTTCTTGGCATGAAAGCAGCCTTTGTTCCTCTATGAAGTACTCACATAAACAGATACACAGTGGTCTGGTCTTCTACTTGGGTGTGTGGAGGTCATTGTTCCTTTTCTGTTAATAGCTAGGAGATTTGGGGAGATTACTTGACCTCCATTTCTTTACCTGTAACATGTATACAATGATACCTACCCAAAGGGCCTCTTTGGAAAGATTAAGTGAAACTACATATAAAGCACCAGCAGAATTCCTATTAGTTTCCTTTCTTCCTTTCTTTTCATCCTTCCCAGAAAGGCAAAATGAAACATCTCTGTTGTTTCTCTTTCCAGCAGCCAAGCCCAACAATTCTGAGCAAGCTCCCTCAAGCCCTGCGCCTAAGACAAGTCTCTCTTCAAGCAAATGTGACCCCAAGCACAAGGATTGTCTGCTACGGGAGTTTCGGAAGTTGTGTGCCATGGTGGCTGATAATCCTAGCTATAACTCAAAGACCCAGATCATCCAGGACTTCTTGAGGAAAGGCTCAGCAGGAGGTGAGGCCGTGAGGGTGCTGAATGGGCTGTGGCTGGCTTCCTGGGCATATGAGGTGTACAGTTGCACAGGAGCCTATGCTTGTTTTAATGCTCTGCTACTGCTGTCCTGAAATTCTTAGTAATTTTGAATAAGAGGCCCCATGTTTGCATTATTAGCAGATCCTACAAATTATGTAGCCAGTTCTGGCTCAGAGGGCTTTTAGCATCTTTCTTCCTGTGCCTTTATTTTGCTCCCACAAGGCCAGAAGAACCCACCCCACGTGACCAATAGGAGAATTCACTGCACATATTTGAATAGAGTTTTTGTGCACTACATGCAGTTTGGAATAAAGTCTTCCAACTTTATTTCTTTCATTCATCTAACAAATTGTCATGGAGCATCTGCAATGCGCTTGTCACTGGGGATATGAAGTCAAAGTCATGGCTCTGCCCAGTAAGAATTCATCCATGGCCTAAGATGAGGCAGACACACAAACCACTAGTTCCTGATCTCTGGCCTCCTGTACTGTAATGATATGTGCAGGGTACTGTGGGAGCATAGGAAGCAATATGTAGATCTCTTTCAGTCTCTGCTTCCTTGAGTTTATATATGTATTTGTTTAAGCTCCATTTCTCAAGAAGGGCTCCTTTCTTCTATCTCCAGATGGTTTCCACGGCGATGTATATCTAACAGTGAAGTTGCTGCTACCAGGTGTCATTAAGAGTGTTTACAACTTGAATGATAAGCAGATTGTGAAGCTTTTCAGCCGCATTTTTAACTGCAATGCAGATGATATGGCACGAGACCTAGAACAGGTCAGAGGGAGGGGAAGGGAGGGGAGGCCACGTTGCAAGAGGGTTCTGCCAAGCCAGGTACCTTCAGCCATTTTTTTTTATGGTTGGGCACATGCTGTTTTAGGAAACTGAAACCTATTTGAGCAAGCTTCCTTTAGGAGGGAACTGAATGTGAAACTACACCTGTTAATGTCTTAAGTTTCTAAGGACTGAAACCACAAAGGGTCTTATCTCAGAAGTCAGGAGTTGGGACTTTTTTCTGCCTGTCTTGGGCCTCTTGATCTGGACTTTTTTCCTTGCTTTTTCTCTCCCTGTACTTGGGCTTACCATTCAACTTTGATTTGTTTGTGACTCTAGCCCTGGCACTCAGAAGTTTCCATCCCAGCAGCCCCACTATCTGATGACTGTATTTGTCTCTCTTTTTTTTTTTTTTGGTACCAGGGATTGAACTCAGAAGCTTGAGCTTGTGAGGCAGGCAGCGGAACCACTGAGCTAAATCCCTGGCCCTGTATTTGTCTCTTAATTAAAATTCATGAGCATGAATCAAATTGGCTCAGCCCTGGATAAGTGCTGTGTCTGTTGCAGCTATGGCAGGTGGCAGATCCTATGTGGACAGACTTGTTCCTTCTAGGAACTGTGAATGGATAGAATGTCTAAGGAGGGAGGTAGATATGTTAAGTTGGGAACAAGAGCCTATGATTGAAGTTTCTTGATTAATCTTTAGTTCTGAGATCTTAGAGGATATACCTGACCACCTGGGGTTGTAGCAGTGGCATTTTGGTTTTTGGAGACAGGGTGACGTGTCAGAGACGATCAGAGTCTTCTTTGAGCAGAGCAAGTCTTTCCCTCCAGCTGCCAAGAGCCTCCTTACTATCCAGGAAGTAGATGAATTTCTTCTGCAACTCTCCAAGCTCACCAAGGAGGATGAGCAGCAGCAGGCCCTGCAGGACATTGCCTCTAGGTAGGGAGCTACACCAGTAAGCCAGACCCAGTGGGGAAGTGCTTGGGAGATGGAATCACTAGGGGAGGAATGTCTGGGAGTACAGAGCTCCTCAAAGGTGAAATTGAATGTGCTTCATTCCCTTAGGTGTACAGCCAATGACCTTAAGTGCATCATCAGGTTGATCAAACATGATCTGAAGATGAACTCAGGTGCAAAACATGTGTAAGTACCAGCTCTCCTCTGACAGCCTAAACTGACAGCTTCCTGTTTCCAGCTATTGTGAGGACTTTGAACTTTTTTTTTTTTTTTTTTTTTTTTGGCCGTAATGGAGAGTGGACCTAGGGGCTTCACACTGAGCTACATCCCCAGCCCTTTTAATACAGAGTGTCACTAAGTATCTGAGTTGCCTAGGCTGGGCTCAAACTTGTAGTCCTCCTGCTTCAGCCTCCCAGAGTATTAAGAAGTGAAAGTCATGGCTCTCCCAAACAAGGCATGTACCACTATGCCCTGCTGCTTCTGGATTTGAATTCTCATTCTACTTGGTTACTTCTTGTGGGACCCTAATCTTGTTTCCACCTGTATTTTCTCACAGGTTAATGTATGAGAAACAGTTCAAAACTTGTTATAATTGAAAATATGGAGTGTTCAGTAAGTTTTACCATATTACCCCTACTTCTGCTAAAGCTGTATCCAAATGGGCACGAGGTCTCAAAAAACTGAATTTTTAGGGCTTGAGGATGTAGCTCAGTGGTGCTGCACCTGCCTGGCAAGTGCAAGGTCCTGAGTTCAATTCCCAGAAACAGAAAAACAAAAAACAAAAAAACTAAATTTTCTCACAGATTTTTCTCCTCCTATAAAGAGATTATAACACAACTGCTTCCCCAAAGATAAAGATTTGTCCTCTCTGTGAGGACAGGCTGCTGTCCAATCCATAGTGTCAAAGCTTTTGTTTTCTTGCTTCTGTCCCCCTTGGCAGTTTAGATGCCCTTGACCCCAATGCCTATGAAGCTTTCAAAGCCTCACGCAATCTGCAGGATGTGGTGGAGCGGATCCTTCAAAATGAGCAAGAGGTAAAGAAGGAGCCAGGCCGGAAACGGGCTCTGAGCGTCCAGGCCTCACTGATGACCCCCGTGCAGCCTATGCTGGTGAGGTGCCCTGCCTTTCCCATCTCCTGTGCCTGTCCTGTGTATACGTCTTCTGGGGTGGGGTCAACAGGGTGTGAGAATGGATTGGGGAAGGAAGAGTACAGATGTGGCAAAGGCAGTGCAGGGAGAAGCAAAGGCACAAGAGCCAATGGCCCAGTACTGTAAACCGAGCCATGTGCCCAGTCCTGCCAACAGCTGCAGTCTTGGATCTGTTCCCTAGCCTCTCAGTCGTTAGTTTCCTTGTGGGAGTGCCTGGTGAGACTTTGAAAGCACCTATCCAGTCTTACTTGATGACGGGATGTGTTCAAGAACCCCCGAGCCCTGTAACCTGCTGCAGGGTAGACCTGAGTTGTTAGCACAGCTAGGCCTCTGTGATGGGGTGACTCGGGAGGGAGAGAAAGCTCAAAGAGTGAAGATCGACTCCAGGAGAGATAACTTGTGCTGCTGCACATTTCATGAGAAAGGGGGTTTCCTTTCTGGCATTGGTTTTTCTGTGCAGCAGGACCCACTGCATATGCCTACTGTAAGGCCCTTTGGCTTTCCCTACTGGTGTACAGTGCTTTGTTTTGAAACCATCTTCTTTTTTTTTTTTGAAACCATCTTCTGTATTGTAATAAAATGTTGGTTTAGGGCCAGTGTTTGGGAAGGCAAGTGCTCTCCTCTGCCAGGAATACGGGATGGCCAGCATCAAAATAGATCTCCATTCCAGGGACAGGAACCCCCCTAGCCATCTGAAGTAATGGCCTTTCTAACTGTTATAAGAATTCTTCCTGGAGTCTGTTTATTTGAAGCCTTTCACTTGAAAAACGGCATGGGTTACATAGTTCAGTGCAGTGGTGGCAAACCTATGTCACGCATGCTGCAGCCGACTGTTTGTTATCATTAAAAGCTCTATAAGGTTCACTATCATTGGCTTAACACACACCGACTTTGGAGTTGGGCCTAGAGTAGTAATGGCAAATCTTGTAGAGCTTTCAATGATAACAAACAGCCGGCTGTGGCACATGTGCCATTGGTTTGCCACCACTGGCCTAGAGTGAGATCTTATTCCTGCTACTTATTAGCTATATAACTTTAAGTAAGTACTGTACTTAGCCACTCTGGCCTTAAGTTTTCTCATCCATAGAATGAGAGTAATATTTGTCATGAAGATATTATATCAAACAAAGATGAAGTGAGATTATATACATGACCTGACAAGAACATAAAAATGTTGGTTGTGTCAGGATAGCACAGGTATGTGAGTGACCACTCCTGTGTCTGGATGTCCTGATCACTATCACCCTGCTGGCCTCAGTGTCACCTGCACCCTTCACTCTTACCCCTACATACTGCTTGTGCTGAGATAACCAATGTATTTGATAATAAGCCAGAGGCCATGCAAAACCTCAATTATTGAGGGGAAAAAAAATCCTATTTCAGAGGTATTTTACTTGTTCTACAATAAGTAGCATTCATCTTCCCCAAAGTCAACTCTGTGTCAACTCTGGCGATGATTATATAGTCAGGGTACAATGTTGCCCAGCTCTTTCCATTCCCATCGCCTCTTGTACAGCCTGCCCTGAGGATTCACTAAGAGCAGTCAGTCCCAGAAGCCAGGTCCTATTCTGACTAATCCAGTTTGGGGCTTTTCGTCTGTGTCTGCCAAGCACCCGCTCATCAAAAGTCTCCTAGCTTTGCTTTCTCTACCCTAGGCAGAGGCCTGCAAGTCCATCGAGTATGCAATGAAGAAGTGTCCCAATGGCATGTTCTCTGAGATCAAATATGACGGTGAGCGAGTCCAGGTGCATAAGAATGGGGACCACTTCAGCTACTTCAGCCGCAGTCTCAAGCCTGTCCTGCCTCACAAGGTATTGTCCTTTCCACCAGGACTGTCTTTCCCCTTCCTCCCCACAAGAGACTCAGGGCCAGAGTTCTTCTATAGCTCTTCCAGTTCACAATAGGGAAATTGATTTTTTATTTGTTATATAAATGGTTGAATTCATTTTTGGAGTCTTCCAATAATGACCAAAGTGTCCAGACTTGAGTTAGTCAGGACAGAGCTTCCTGGGACAGCGATAATTCTTTCACTCACCGTGCTGTTGGGAGATGAGCTCATTTGGTGAGTGCTATGCAAAGTCTTTTGCATTTCCATGTTCCATGTGCTGCAAGCTAGATTACAATTCATGTACAAGGGACTGTCGCTCGTTAGTATGTTCAACAAATACTTATGCACTATTGTAGCTAGTGGGCATACAGCAATGGGAAAAAATGAACAAGAGTTCTGACCTTTAAGAAGCTTACATCTGATATAAACACAATACCATAGGGACATTTGGGAGCCCAGATTCCTACCCTGATGTTGGCAGTGAGACCTTATTCTTCAGTTCCTCTCAGTTCCCAATGCTAAGGCTTTGGGGGTGTCTTCAGGGAAAAGCTGCTGAAATATGTAACACCAGTAGGTTGTGAATAGATGGAATTCTTGACCTTTCTAACTTACTTCCTAGCTCCAGCTCAGTTTTTTGAGTCCCAGGGGACCTGGCAGGAGATGTGGGGCGTGTGAGTCCTCTTCCTTCCTGCCTCCCATGAGGGTCACACCACCTGTTGCTCTTTTCCAGCTGGTTTACAAAGTCTGGCTGTTATGTTTTGAAGCTTAGCTGGGCTTCTGTGTTTTGCTGTATATTCTTTCTGGGATCTGGTCTTTGATGTCTGTGCCTTGGCTTTGGATCCCTCACCAAAGCTACCTCTCTACTTCCAGGTGGCCCACTTTAAGGACTACATCCCCCAGGCTTTTCCTGGGGGTCATAGCATGATCTTGGACTCTGAGGTACTCCTGATTGACAACAAAACAGGCAAACCACTGCCCTTTGGGACTCTGGGTGTGCACAAGGTACTGGCTCAGGACCATATGTACAAAAGTAAATGTATGTGTGCTCATACATGCTATCAGTTTGAGATGGGGAGGAATACATCACTTATGGTAGGGCTTATTCTTTACTTCTGAACTATTTCTGAATTCTTTAATTTTTTTTTTTTTAATTAAAAGGAGCTGCTATTAGGAATCAGTTTATAATTGAGTTGTTTCTATTCTTACTGTTAGTCAGCTGTCTTTATAAAAAAAAATACCTAAGGTAGTTAACTTATAAAGAGGAAGGTTTTAATTTGGCTCACAATCCTAGAGGTTCCAGCCCAAGATCAGAAAGGCCCATTGCATTGGACCTGGGCAGCACATCATAGCAGAAGGACACAGCAGAAAAAAACCATTTATGAACAAGGGAGTAAAGAGAAAGAGGAAAGGTCCAGAACCCCACAATCCTCTTTAGGGCTGTGCCTGTAATCACCTAAGGACCTGACACAAGGGCCCACCTCTCAAAGGTTGCACCACCTCCCAGTAGCACACCCTGGGGGCTAAACCTTTAACACATGGGCCTTTGGGGGATCTTCAAGATCCACATTATAGCAAGCTCCATCTGCTGAGTATCCTTAAGGCCAGCGTGTGTCAGAGCACAAAATAGGACTTCACATCAGGTGCTTGAGACGGCCTCCAGAACTGGACTGGTATTCCATGTGCTCATACATGCTATCAGTTTGAGATGGGGAGGAATACATCACATATGGTAGCTTATTCTTTGCTTCTGAACTATTTCTGAATTTAGTCTTAAATTTAGATGTCTTTTTTTTTTATTAGGAATCGGTTTATAATGCCTTCTAACTTTCTCCATGTACTACCTCTTCTTTTTCTTATAGAAAGCTGCTTTCCAAGATGCTAATGTCTGCCTGTTTGTTTTTGATTGTGTCTACTTCAATGATGTCAGCTTGATGGACAGGTGAGTTGGTCAACATCTTTTTATTTGGGTGCTGTGAATTGAACTGAGGACCTTTTGTGTGTCAAACTTGTGCTGTACCACTGAGCTATACCCTCAGCCCTGGCTAACATCTTTAAATCCAAGAACGTATATTAATTTCCTGAGTAGAGGTGTAAGTGATTCAATTGGGAAGGAAGGAGGGAAGTCCAACCCTCACTCAGTATGAGGAAGACTCCATCTTATCTCTGAAAGCTTAAGTGTCAGAGGAAACCTAAACCCCAAAGAAGTATCTCTGCTAAAGCAAGATGGACTATTAAAGAGACATAGGTGGTGAGCATAGTGGTCTCTCAGTTTATTTTTCTAGTACAGCACCTATGAGAGCATAAGGCACATGCTTTTAAGCTCAGAGGTTTTGATTTCAGAAGCTAACAACAGGAAACTCCTGATACAGGGGAGGCATCCCATCTTGTGGTGAACCAATAGTCTTGATTTAGCTACACCCAAAGGCTTGGGCTCAGGAAACCAGTATTGACTCTTTCCACACCTAGAAATGTATTGCTACTCCCCATCTAGCAGCTGCCACATCCTTTATTGTGGAAGGAAGCAGAACAAAGAATCAGTGGGGTAGGAGCTGGGATTTGGGTCATGTGGCCTGACTCAGCCTGCTGACCCAAAGACTGCCAGCCTTGGGGTTGAGATGAAGCAAGGTACAGGACATAAAAAACAAGTTAGAGTTGTTTTTCAAGTAAGACCAGAATTTATACATTCTAGGCTAGAGGCCAGTTCTCCCTTGGCTCAGTAAAGTAGAAATAGAAATGAAAACTATGAATTGGCTCTTTGCCTCTGCTCATAGTTGTCCATCTTCGGTCATGATATAGTCTTTGGGGACCTTGACAGCAGAACTGTTACATAGCAGAGCTTGAATACAAGATAGAACCGCTCATGAGCAGCAGTTCTGTCATTGTGCTCCTTCCCTTCTCAGAATTCTTCATAGGGATGGGAGGGTTCTTCCCTCTGCTCTTCTGTCCCCCTTAGGCCCCTTTGTGAGCGGCGGAAGTTTCTTCATGACAACATGGTTGAAATTCCCAACCGGATCATGTTCTCAGAAATGAAGCAAGTTACAGTAAGTGAAGACCCTACACCAAACAGGGTCCTAGTGGTTTGAAAGCAGGGCAGAGGACCCTTTGGCTCAAGTGTAAGAGAGTGTCTTACTTAATCCTCTTATGAGATCTGCTGATGTGTTTGCCTTTGACTGTTGTGAATCTTGTCTACCAGTCTCACCCAAGAGGGCAGGGCATGAAAATCCTTCCTAGGTAAGCACCTTGTGTCCTCAAGCCACAGGAGCTGTCTGGTTGGGAACCTCCTTGCTTTGCAAACCCTTTGTTTCTTATATTAAGTGGGCACTTAACTAGTATGGAGAAATGGACAACTGCCACTTGGCTCCCATGCAACCTATTTTCACACTATCCTTAATCTTTCTCCTGTTGTCCCTCAGAAAGCTTCGGACTTGGCTGATATGATAAACCAAGTGATCCGGGAGGGCTTGGAAGGGCTGGTGCTGAAGGATGTGAAGGTGAGGCAGTCACACCCTTTGCTTTCTCCTGCAGATTCTAAGTTTTCTCCCGAAGATTCTAAGCTTTCTCCCCTGAGCCTCCCCCATCCTGGCAAGATAGCAGTGGTATCTGAGGTGACTGGGGTGGAAGCTGAGGGGAGCTTTTCCAGGGTTTGGCCATGTGTGTTCTGAATCTGGAGGATGGATTTTATATGTCTCTTGTAGTAGCTGGAGCCTGAAGGTTCTTCCTAGTTGGGCTGGACTCTGTGACAGTGTGTGTGGACTGTTGCTACTGGATCTGGTACACAGCAATGAAGAGGTAAATGCTACCCTCGTGGAGTTTCCATTCTACTATGTGGTCTCTCATGTCCCTTCAGGGTACGTATGAGCCTGGGAAGCGGCACTGGCTGAAAGTGAAGAAAGACTATTTGAATGAGGGGGCCATGGCCGACACAGCTGACCTGGTGGTTCTTGGGGCCTTCTATGGACAAGGCAGCAAAGGTCAGTGGCATCTGGCTCCAGTGATGGTGCTCTTGGAAGGCACCCTGTGACATGTAGGCTGATCTTCTTACTGGCCTCATTTGTCAGCTTGGCCACTCATGACTTCCTAGGTCCTCAGACCTAGGATCCCAAGTTGACCTGAATCACATCAGGCAGAGGCATCTAGGAGCTATGGGATTGGGCACAGAGAGGTGGGCAAGAATATCCTGTGCTGGGGCTAGGGATTTAGCTCAGTGGTTCTGCTGCCTGCCTCGAAAGTGCAAGGTCACGAGTTCGATCTCCGGTACCAAAAAAGAAAACAAAAGAATATCCTGTGCTGTCCTGGTACAAGGAATGTCACTACCAGCAATTTCTTTGGGACCTGAAAGTATTTCCTCTTCAGGGAAAATCTCTTGACTGGAGAGAAAACTGGAATCTGTGAAACAAATAGTTTTAGGTGATCTACTGTGTGACAAGCACTATTCAGTTACCCACAGCCCAGCAGGTTGGGTATGATTATCCCTAATTTATTGGCGAGAAACAGACTCACAAAGGTTAAAAATCACACAGGATGCCAGGCATGGTGGCGCACACCTCTAATCCCAGAATTTGGGAAGCTGAGGCAGGAGGATCATCATGAGTTTGAGGCCAGCCTGGAATACACAGCAAGACCCTGTCTCAAAAAAAAAAAAAACCACACAGGATAGGGGCCATGTAGCTCAGCAGTAGAGTGCTCACCTAGTTGTACAAGGTCCTAGGTTCGATCCCTAGCACTAAAGGAAAAAAAAAAAAAGCACTAGTATATCCAGGGGCCAGGGATGTAGCTCAGCAGCACCAAGCCTGCCTGGCAAGTGCAGGATCCAATGTTTGATTCCTGCGCCCTGCCCCCCCCCCCCCCCCCCCAAAAAAACTAACAAGTCCAAGAGGTAAGTTGTGGCACTCTGATGTCACAGCCCAGGCTGCTTCTCACTGGGCATGTGGGACTGGCAGACATGGCTCCCTGCAACCCACACTCAGCCCATACTCTCCCAGGTGGCATGATGTCAATCTTCCTTATGGGCTGCTATGATCCAGGCAGCCAGAAGTGGTGCACAGTCACCAAGTGTGCAGGAGGCCATGATGATGCAACACTCACCCGCCTGCAGAAGGAACTGGACATGGTGAAGATCAGCAAGGTGAGGAAGGGGCCTGGTTGACCTAGCTTCTGGACAAGCCAGCACTACTGAGAAAGGCTGTGCTTCTGGTACTGCAGCTACCATTTATCTCTGCCCAGAACAGAGTGATACTTGGCCATGGGAGGAGCATTAGGCCTTAAAATCTCTGAGTGCCTGCCTTGTGGACAGTGGCCTTCATACCCTATAGGACACATCCCCTCTGTGCAGGGAGGCATACATCTGGTGTGGGGGTTGGCTTTTACTTAAGGCATATCTCACAATTTAAACACCGAGAGGGGGCCTAAGATTTGTTCCACCTTAGGAACAGCTCATAGTAGCATCTTCTCTCCTCCAGGACCCCAGCAAAATACCCAGCTGGCTGAAGATCAACAAGATATACTATCCTGACTTCATCGTCCCAGACCCAAAGGTATCAGCCCAATGGTTGGGTTCTTTCAGCCCACAGAATTAGATTGTAGTTTCTCTAGTGCCACAGAAAGTTATCCTAACCTCACTGAAAATCCATCCAGGGATAGGAATCTGGATTATTCTGTCAAGTGACAGGCACAGGGATGGCTAGCCAATACTGAGAGATTGTCACCAATAGGAAGGGAGTACTCATTTCCTCATCATAGAGGGGTCTGTTCTAGAAGGAATCTGGCCCAGTCCCTTGAACTTACAGGTTCAGGGAGACAAGATTGTCCTAAGGTTACCGAATAGCAGCAAGACTTGCGAGCGAGTCTCCCAGCCTGGTGCAATAGCAGCTGTGGTTTGACTCATTTTGTACTGCTTCTGGTTTGTGGGAGAGGTTTCCTCCTCCACCAGAGATGGACCTACCTGCCTCCCTCCTGACAGAAAGCTGCTGTGTGGGAGATCACAGGAGCAGAATTCTCCAAATCTGAGGCACACACAGCTGATGGGATCTCCATTCGATTCCCTCGCTGCACCCGAATCCGGGATGACAAGGACTGGAAATCTGCCACCAATCTCCCCCAACTCAAGGTGCCAGCTCTGGGACTGCATGTTTATCTTCTTCCACATCCCCTGGCTTCTTTCCCCCATTCCACTGAGATAGAGCAAGGAGGGCAGTTAGGGAGGCCAAGCCAGCTCTCAGCTAGGAGCAGCAGCTTGAGGCTACCTCCTGCCAATCCCAAGGAGACAACCTCACTTTCATGAGGACTCTCTGAGCATCCCTCAGTCTGGCCTCTCAGACTCCTAATAAGGGGTTGCCCTGCACAGCAGTCTTATGTTGATTAAGAACAGGGGCCCCAGAGAATGATGATTTGTACTCTGGTTTTTTGGTCCTGGGGATCGAACTCAGGACCTTGCGCTTGTGAGGCAGGCGCCGGAACCACTGAGCTAAATCCCCGGCCCCAATGATTTGTACTCTGATTATTCAGGTTACAGGACTATACTTTGAAAAGCACCAAGGAACTTTGTCCCTTTTTTTCCCTATTTGTTTCCTGGCCAAATGTGCCTAAAACAGTCCACTGTGAAGCCAGTGTCTGGGGAAGGGGATGATAGTGTGCGACCTGCTCCCTCTCCTTTTCAGGAACTGTACCAGCTGTCCAAGGAGAAGGCAGACTTCACTATAGTGGCTGGAGATGAGGGGGGCTCCACTACAGGAGGCAGCAGTGGCGAGAATGAGGGCACCTCAGGGACTGCTGTTTCTCACAAGGCACCCAGAGCCTCCCCCAAACCTTCTGCCAGTGCCAGGAAGGCTGAAGGGAAGCTGAGTAACCCTAACAGCAAAGACAGTAAGGATAAGGGAGGGAGGCTGGGATGTGAGGGTGGTATGAGAGGCAGATCCCAGAAGTCAGGAACTGTCTCACACTCTAACTCTGAGCTCATGTGATTACCTGTGTGCGCTGCAGTGACAATGACTGCAGTCCAACTGTCTGTCCGTCCAGCCACGGGCCAGGAGCTGTTCTGCTAGGCACCTGGGATCTTCACATCAAACCTGGGAGAACCTTACTGACAGGGGAGCTAAAGGGCTTAGCTGATAACTTCCATTTCCTTCCTCTCCCCTTGATTTCTGGAACCATTATTGTTATCTTTACCCTGTCATTTCTTATGCTGAACTGTGTCCTCCAGGCAACAAGCTGAATGCAAAGCCTTCCCCTGTGAAACTGGGAGAGAAACTGGCCTTGAAGTCTTCCCCAGTGAAAGTAGGGGAGAAGAGGAAAGCTGCTGATGACAGCCCATGCCATGCAAAGGTGAAGGTAAGAACAGCAGCACTCCAGGTGGCCTGCTGTGGCCCAGGGCCTAGTGTCCCCAGCCTTCTGCACATGAACTTTGAAAGATGAGCAGAAGGGCTTGAGGGACACTGGCTGAAAGATCATCCCCTCATGCAGCTGCTCTACTTGTGCCCTCTTGTTGCCTTGCAGAAGCAGGCGGCCAGCCGGCAGAGAGGAAGGAGAGCTGTGCCAGCAGGCAGGAGATAGAGCCCGGCCCAGCCCAGAGAGGCTGCAGGGCACCCAGCTGCCAGCCCCAAGTCACAGCCTCCATTAAAGGGGAGAAAGCCAGTCTGGGTGTGGGTGCAGCTGTGTGAGTTTGTGATCAGGGCAGTAGCAAGTCCAGCCAGCAAGGAGAAGGAGCACTGACTTAGTAACTTTCCTTCCAACTGAACAGCTTTTTCCCTTTTTCCCCCCAGCGGGGAAGTACTGAGAATTGAACCCAGGGTCTTTGCACCTGGACCCTGACCCCAGACCTTTTAAATTTTATATTTTCAGATCTTTTTATATTTATATTTTATTTTATATTTTATATTACCTAAGTTGCCCAGGTTGAGCTCAAACTTGGGATTCTCCTGTTTCAGCTTCCCAGAGTGCTGGGATTACACCCGTGTACCACCATGGCACTCTAGCCTTTTCCTTTTAGTATTCATGAATTGAGCACCTACAGAGACCTGGAACTAGGTTAGTACCGACTCACCCTGCCCCAAAGGGCAGATGACTTAAACATGATCACTACAGTGACTGGGCCCCCACCCTTTGTACTGCCACCCAAGAATGACAGAAATCTGACAACTCGGGGCCTGAGCCAGTTTCCAAGTAGACCAGTGAAACCTTTCCCATCTGTCTTGCCTGCCTGAAGCCCTTGACCCCATCTCCAGTAATGGGCAAGACTCCTGACCCCTCAGTCAGGCTCACTGATCTTCATGGGGATGTCACTGAGCTGGGGCACTAAGTCAGCCAGTGGATAACTCTGAGAGATGTGCCCTTTTCTCATCTCCAAGCCTCAAATCCTCTTTTCCCTCAAGCAGGGTGGGAGGAATATCAGTCCTGTATGTAGACTGGAGGATGGCAGTAATGATGTTTGTGCCTTTTATCCAGTAAGCTCTTCTGCTTGTGTCCCAAACTCTAGGCTCCTTCCATCTCTGGCTCCTGTTCTGGCATTACTCTGCCTTGTATGCATCTGGGTGAAGACCCACCTGTGCCCAGTGCAGGTCCGGTCCACCTGACCCCTCTACGTTTGCAGGTGCTGCTGGACATCTTTACTGGGGTGCGGCTCTACTTGCCACCCTCCACACCAGACTTCGGTCATCTCAGACGCTACTTTGTGGCATTCGACGGGGACCTGGTGCAGGAATTTGACGTGGCCTCAGCCACCCACGTGCTCGGTAACAGGGACAAGAACCCTGAGGCCCAGCTGGTCTCCCCAGAGTGGATTTGGGCATGTATCCGTAAACAGAGGCTAGTAGCTCCCTGCTAGGGCTGTGGTCTTCCCTGCCATAAGCTGTACTCTCCTCTGCCACACCATCCCAGAGCTCAGGCTGGAGGCAGGTAGATGGAATAGAGGAGGGGTATGCTTTCTTCTCTAAGCATCTTCCAAACCCACCAACCCTTCATGGTCTCTCCTGGACCAGGAGTTAAGTCCTGTGGACACCACAAGTAAAGTCAGTTTCTCTTGATGGTTTAAATAGATCTTTCAGATCTGGGTGCTGGCTTTGTCATCCTTATTGTTTTCTTTTAAAAGAAGCTTAGTTATTTTTTTATAAATAAAATACCTTGCAGTAATATGGCTCCCCACTGGCTCCCCCTAGTTTCCTCATGCTAAGGAGTGAAGGCTGGGCAGTTGAAGCCCTGTTGGCAGTCTTCTCTCCTTGCCTGCCCCTTTTACTGCCAGACTCTAAAAGGTGTATTTAAAAGACTGCCCTCCAAATTGGCAAAATTTGTATTCAGCCTGGTGCCTTGTGCCAGGATGAACCCTTATTTAAAAGAACAAAATGAAATTTGTTTCTGTTCTGGGGGAGGGTCCCAGTTCAAAAGGAGGGGTAGGGTCAGGTAGGAAGTGAGGCTTGTGTAGGAAAGAAGGTGGTTATTTGGGGTGCTGGGGAAGTGGATGATTTATTAGAGGCTCTAGAAAGATCAGTCTGCCTCCTTGAAGTCTGGAAACAGTACTGCTCTTTAAGAATACAAATCCACACCTGAAGACAAGTCTACACAGAGACCAGCTTTGGCTGATTTATTTGAAGAAGAAAAGACAATTTGTATAGACAAGTGTCATTCGTAGATCTCTTTATGGCAATGGAAATGTCCTGAAAAGCTGCACTGTTAAGCTGAAGAAGCCACATGTGGCTGTTGAGTACTTGAAATGTGGCTAGCCCAACTGAAGAACTGGTTTTCATTTTAATTCAACTCCAAATGGTCACAAGTCAATAGTGACTACTACATTGGACAGCAGAGGCAGAGACAGACCTGCTTCAAGACCTGGAATGTAAAAGCTGTAACCTTATGCAAGTTACTTACCATCTGAGCATTAATTCCCCCAAGTAGAATGGGGACAAGCACTGCTCCTAAATCACAGGTGGCTGTCAATGACCTCAGATACATTGTGTATAGCAAAGCGCAGAACCTGGCACATAGCTGTTTAGAATCAGGAATAGCACCCTTGGCATGCATGCTCACCCAGACCCTACCTATGCCCGCATGTTACAGCTTACACTTTGCACTGAATGTAGATTCACTGGAGTGCTCTGTGGCTATAGACTACCTTCTGTGTCCCATCTTGCTACCTCTTGAGGCTCACTTCTCTCTTTCCTTATCAAATTTGCAGGCTTGTTTGCCCATCTCCCATTACAGGTTAATGTGACTCAATCTCTAAAACATTGGAATGTCTGGGCCTATAGGATAGAGGACCATACTCCTTGCCCCTTGCATTCAACTAAGCCAATATTCTGCTAGGGGGCTACTTGTCAGTCTGGAGGCTAACTTGAACCTCACTGACCAGCTACCATGTAAAAAGTGGGGGCCAAGTTTAAAGGTACTATCCTCACTAATACTGGACATTTGGTGTTTTTGACTAGGCACTATTCAGTCTGGATTTAGTACTGGGATGAAGACACTTGTTAATCCACCCTTTGTGGACATAAAAGATGCTCCTCGTTTGAGCACTGGTCTACATAGACTTACATCCTTCTCCAGGCTCCTCAGGCCAAGCAGCTGGGCAGGGTAACAGACACAAGGCTCTCCCCTCCCCAACCCTCCTGACCTAGACCCAGCCCTATCTGCTTTCACTGCTTGCTTACATTCAGGGTGCACCCTCCCAGCAAGGGGCACTGCCAGATGCAAGCCTTCATCTCAGTTACAAATTTGACTCTTGACTCCTCTCTACATTCTTCTGTGTTAGCTCCAACTCAGCAGTTTGTTTCCTTTGTCTTCCTGACAGTTTTTACTATGGAGATTAGACTGCATAGACAGTTTTGTACTTGTGTATTTCTACCTGACCCTAACCCTAACCCTAACCCTCCCTAAATGGTGGAATCCCCCACCCCCTTTGGTGGTGATGATGGTGCTGGGGATTAAACTTGGCCTTGTACATGATGGGCAAGCACTCATCCACTGAGCTATCCCCCAGCCAGGCCCCCCTGCCCTCCTTTTTAAAATTTTTTTAACATGACACAGTCTTGCTAAACTGCCTAGGCTGATCTTGATCTCAGGCTCCATAGTGGCTACCTGCCCTCTCAGCTTTACTTCACATGCTGCTGGCTGGCAACAGGTATCACCAAGTGCTGAGCAGGTCATCCATCCAAGGCAGTGAGGTCAAAGTACTATGGCCTAGCCTCAAGCCTTTAAACCCTTTTGGCAAGATTCCTTCTTGTATTCTCAGTCACAGGGCAGATCTGCACGTCATCCTGTTTTCTCAGGGTGCTCTCTCCCCTCTCCTGGCCTATGCATACACAGCAGTCTGTGTGAGCCACACTTTAGCTATACCCAAAAGCTACCACATTTTTCCCAGGGTAACCTGAAGACTAAACTGCCTACCTACCCTATCTGTCCTCAGGTTCTCTTCTATCCAGATTTTGAAGGGTTATTTCTAGTAGGTCAGTGTAAATATCTGAACTCACCTGGTGCTTCTTCCCATCCATCTTGAGATACATCCTTTTTCTACCAGCTCCCTTCTCTTCCGGACTGTTCCCATGTACTACTTCGGAGATTTTTGGACAAGTCACAACAACACTGAGCAGGGATATCTTCACCAAGGCCACATCCCCAGGCATCTCCAAAAAATAATGGAATCACAAGAACACACCTATGTGTACATGGCCTGGGATTTGCCTATGGTTTATCAGTTCTTATGTCAGTAAATCATCAGACCTCTGGCATCATCCTCAGACCAGATCCGACAGGCATCTATCTTGAAACTTTATTACAAAATTATAAAGCAGAGCTTTGTAACAACAACAAAAATACATATTTGGGTTTGCTTTAACACCCAAGTAAGTCTGAGAGAATCTTAATATAAGCCACTTGAAATAACATATTGACATCCAGGAGATTTCAACAAATTTGTACAATATATATTGAGCACTAATTCCTGTACAGCTTATTAGTTTGGATCCAACTATTCCAACATATGAACCAGTCAGCTGTGCAAGTCTTTTAAACAAGTCTCAACTGCAATCTCACAGCAATCAGAGCAAAAGCCATGGAATAATCAAAAGTATTAGATGTTTCTATGACAATTAAGACCCAAGGATCCATGAGGGACAAAAGGGAGAATTCAAGAATAAAAAATCAGGTGTTCTGCCTGGATTAGATATTAAATGGAATGGGATCTTGAAACTGCCAACTTTTATTTGGTATAATAATAAAGATAACAAAAAATCAGGGTTGTTTGACATCTTTTTTCCCAAATGGAAACCACCAAAAGATAGTTTTAAAGGCAAGTTCTTTCAAAATGAGTAAGTGATATCAGTTCTAATTCCTGCTGAGTTTACTAACCAGCCAGCAGAATATTCGGTTCCTGTCTAGGAGGAAGCTGGAGGTAGTAGGGGAGGTCAGGCTTCAGAGGGAGCAAGTTGTAAGGAGGGAGAAAGCCAGCTTAGTGTCTGCCTTGAAGTTATTGCTAGATCTTAACTAAGTTGCATATATGCAGACCTGTTTCACAGTGGAATTGAGCAGCTGATCCAGTGATCCTTTGATAGATTGGTAGGCATCAAAAACTACAGTACTTATTATCTAGCAGAAAGGTGAAAGGCAAGTCTTCATTGGAGAATGTCTTGATTCCCCAATTCCTACAAAGGCACCCAAAATGAGACCATCTGGACTTAGTACAATGTCCAGGTAAGTGGCCCAGTGTTCCACTGACAATTACTTTATGAAATTAATTCCCCCTAGTGGTGTTTAGTGGTTCATAGAGGGAAAGCATAAGTATGTACCAATGTAATAGGTCCTGCTAGAAGCTTCCTTCTGCTTTCCAGCCAACTGGTCCTTCTAGTCTAGACCTCAGCTGCGCAGTGTGTATAGGGGTGGGGGGTGTCCCACAGTTCATCCATTGGTAATAGACACAGCTCTTCTGAGAGCATGGTGTTTTGTGCTTTGCTGAGCTTCTCTATGAAGCCTTGCAGCTTCTCCAGTGCTGTAAAGATCCTGAAGAGGGCTCAAAAAGCATCAGTACTCATTACCTGATCCTTTGTAAAGGGCCAAAAGATCTTTCATCTTGCCCCCAAATCAATGGACTGAGAAAGAAATGAAAGTGCGGCAGAATTCAGCCTTATTATTTTCTAGTACCTCTTAGCTACTCTGCCTTATACCTCTGTACTGAACTTCATGAGAAGTTCAAAAAGAGTAAGACTCCTTGCCTAAAGTCTCTATGCCTTTGATGAGACCAAGATTAAGAACCTTGGAAAAGGGAAGGGCTTATAAAAGTGTTTAACACCCTTGCCAGCTAGAAAAAGCAGAAGCCAAAGTTAAACAGAAGGCCACTGCCTCTACCCCATGCTTCACCCTTACAATTTGAAGTAAAGGATGGTGCAAAGTCAAGCCACAAAAGAAAAAGCAGCAGAGATAATCCATGCACATCCTTTGCACACAGATTCTGGAATTTCTCAGCAGTTTGGGAAACATGCTTTGTTGGCTCCCAGGGACAGGGCAAGTCTGATGATTTCCAATCCCGACACTTAAAGAAGCAACTCAAAACAACTTAACATTTGTGTTTCATTTCTCACCAAAGAAAAGTTCACTGTTCCAAACTGTCCTAAGGACCACAGTTGGTTTGATAAAGCAATATATTTTGGTCCACAGAAACATGGATTTTAGGCAAGATACCAAGAGACATTTAAAGATATGTTAAAACACAGAAAGCCAGAGAAACCAAATTTAAATGCAGATGTACAGAGGAGGAAGGAACCATTTCTAGCAGGACTTCTGACTGGTGAAATATAGGCAAGCATTTCCAGGGGATGAGTGGGATACAGAAGAGCAAAAATGTTTCTAGGTTTTCAGAGGAGGAAGACATGTTCCAGGTTCTGTAAAGGCTGTTCATCAGTTATCATCCTTACTCCCCAGATCACTGAAATAGGCACTCACCCATGTCATGTAGCAGTTCCGATTGGCCTCAGCCACTCTGCCAGCCAAGAGAGGCATGCCAGACCAGACAGGCATGCCCAGGGATGACAGAGCATCTTTGCTTGCCTTTGTCTTGGGAACACTACAGAATTTCTTCAGTTAGCTTGCCTCTCTGCAAGCTGACCAACCCTGAGCCCAGATACACTGGGCTATATCCCTGTAAGGCACTGACGAAGCTGGTGCAAGCCCTCAGGATCGGAAGACATGCACAGCTCGAATCACATACTGCCGGCAGATGGGACATTCATTCATGCGCTTGCCACACTTGGTACAGGTTACCATGTGTCCACACTCCAGCAGAACACAGTCAATGGGTGAGTCCATGCAGATCTTACACAGGTTCTCCTCTAGGCCAGATGGCACTGCTCCCCCTGTACAAACACAGGGCATAAAAGAGAGGCAAAGGGGGCATGATATTGTCTTAGTGTATTCGGTAGGGTAAGGTGGAGGAAGGAGAGAATGGGCACACTGAACAAGTCCCCAAACCACACACTGCTCAAACCAAGCTCCTCCAAGAAAACTCCCTTAGTAAGCCTGTTGGATTCATACTTCCTGCCAAAGGGCTACAGACTTGAGGAATACAGTATCTGCATTAAATACATCCCAAAACATGAGAATTAAGGCAAAGTCCTCAAGGCTTAAATAATTTTGCGAGCCGGGGATTTAGCTCAGTGGTTCCATCGCCTGCCTTCCAAGCGCAAGGACCTGAGTTCAATTCCCGGTACCAAAAAAAAAAAAAGAAATAATTTTGAAACAACTGAGGCTGTAATACAATAAATGAGTGATAGTTAGGGACTCCTTATCCCCTGAGGCAGACCTGCAGAAAAGATAAAACTGGTTCAGCAAAGCTTAGATAGAAACAGAACTATAATAGTTCATTAAGAATCTGGGGGCTTATCTATAAAAACACCACAATTTAATAAAACAATCATGGAGACCCCCTGTACCATCCCACAAAATATTCCCAGGCTCTCAGAGACAGGAAAATCTTGGCTGAGCTTGTCGCTCCCTCTTCTATGCAACTCCCATAGAATTTTGCTCCTACCTCCCACACACACACACCCACTGCTTATCACATTGGATTATAATTTTGGTTTGCCTACTTATCCCCATAGACTTAAGAGAGCTGCTCGATTCAACATACTCAATTTCTATAATCATATACTTATGTTTGCTATGTGCTCTGAGGGAAGAAACTCATCTTTGAATTTGCAAAACATGGGTTACATGGTAGGTAACCTCTAAATGTCTGATAAACACTGCCCAAGGGAATAGTAACAGCTCACATTTATTGAATGCCTACCATGTACCATGTGCCAGGCAGGTCCTAAGACCTTTACATGTATTAACTCATTGAATCCTCAGTGAAACTGTGGAGTATTCCTATTACTCTCATTTTATAGATGAGGCAACTGGGGTCAAAGAGTTAAGTGACTTGCCCAACTGCCACTCTGTCTCCTTCACAGGGGACAGGGTGGGGAGATTATTTCTTTTTTCTTTTGGTACCGGGGATCGTATTCGGGACCTTGCGCTTGCGAGGCAGGCAGCAGAACCACTGAACTAAATCCCCAGCCCTTGGGTAGATTATTTCTGAAGATGTTGAGAAACTTGGTTCTCAGCAAGTTTCTTCAGCTGTTAACGGATCAGGGGTAAAGGCAGAAAAAGACAGAATGCCGAAAGCCTAAGCCTGTTCCCGAACAGAAACAACTACTTACCGTTTTGGTCTTCAGCACCACATACTGGAAAGGAAAGAGAAAGATGTCTAAATAGGTAACGTATGATGGCACAAGGTGTCTCCTACCACCCTAGCATCATTTCATTTCTGAATTCCCCCCACACACTTCTCAGCTTGCCACAAGTCTGGGTGGACACCTGCCTTCCTCGTTCTGCATACGGAGAACTCACATGGAGCTCTTGGTGGTGTGTGCACCACTCATAAAAAAAGGTATTCTGCTGGTCTGCATGAACAAACCTGCCAACCAGAAGGATGCTGTATATGCACAATATCCTTTTCTATTGCCTTTGAAGCAAGCATTAAAGTCAAGAAAGAATGAAGAATCTGGCTGTTTCAGTCAGCCAGAGATTCTGGATAAAGTTCCCATGTGCAACCAGTGTTCTTCCCTGGGAGACACTTAAACAGTCCCAAAAGGAAGACGGACTCCACATCAGAAGCTCGGTCTGATGAGTAGCTGGACTCTGAGCTGTTCAAATTTATTAGAGGAGAGCTTGAAACCTTTGTCACCCACTGTTATCATGCGAGGAATCAAATGATGTTTGGCAGGAACTAAAGCAGCTGGGATGGGAAGAAAGGTGAGGGCTCTGTGGTGAAGTAATTTCAGGAAATGTCAAGTTAAAACAGCCAAACACATTTCTGCAAGACTTCTCTGGATTTGATATAAAATATATACCACGAATCAGTAATGGCACACAGAATAAAGTATTTGTTTCCAAACTCACTTAACCACAGACTCAGATGTTGGGGGGATGAGGGGTACACATCTCCTGAAAATGATACCATGTAAAATGGAGATGAATGAAATGAAAAGCCCAAGTACAGACAGAACAGATAGTCTCCTACCATGTGTGCGAAGACTTTCTAATCTCTTAGAATTAAATGTTGGAGGTAGGAATCTGGCACAAGTAGCATTTGGTAGGAAAGGCCATGGACTGAGACCAGAAAATCCTTAGTTCAAATCGGCTCCACAGTAAAAGGGTGATGCTAACAATGCTTACTGCACAGGTAGCTCTAAGGATTAAATGTATACAATGCCATACCTAGTGTTAGCACTTAACCATGAGTGACAGCTATTATTAGATGGTCCGAATGTGTAAACTGACCTCCTCCGTAGCTAAATGCATTGGACTTAAGTCAGGTTGATGCCATCGTGTTTTCAGATCACAGCAAACACTCCAAAAGTTCTGTGCAGCTGCCAGCCAAATAGCTCCTCACCTAGATGCTGGAGTCCTTTCTGATCCTTGTATAGCCGCGTCACCCTCTCCATCAACTCCCACTTCTCACAGCAGCCCTTGTAGTTGACAAAATTGCGAGCCAGGATCTCTTTTAGCTGCCGCACTGTTAGGCCTTCAATGTCCTCCAGGTGGGTCAGGTCAGACAGCGAGGCCCTCCGCCCTGGGACGAAGCTGTCCTCTGAGTCAATGGACTGCAATAGCAAAGATGAGATTGAGGGGGCTCGGCTCTTACTTCCTTTCCCCTAAGCTTTCTCTCTAAAGACCCCACAGCACTCATCACACTGCACTTTGGTGACTGACCTCAAGAAGAGTAGAACAGACAGAAAAATACCTGAAATGGTGCTTTACATTGGAAAACAGACTATATCTCTTTCTGACCCACAGTTCTGTGCTCAGGCACAGCCGGTATGATACACCAGGAGCACTGGTTCGAGTCAGATCACCCTAATTCTGAATCCTGACCTCTCTACTGACTAAATGCTAAATAATACCCTGGCAAGTTGCTGATCTCTCTAAGGCTGTTGGCCTCCAATAAAAGAGAAATAGCAGTCCAACTACACATGAAGATTAAATGTGGCCCAGGTGCAGTGGCACATGCCAGTAATCCCAGCTCTTTAGGAGGCTGAGGCAGGAAGATCACAAGTTCAAAGCTACCCTGGGCAACTTAGCAAGACCCTGCCCCAACCTGCAACCTTAATCGCCAGCAAAAAAAAAAAAAGAGAGAGAGAGAGAGAAAGGTTGATAGGTAGCTCAGTGGAAGAGTACTTGCCTACCATTTGCAAGGCCCTGGGTTCAATTCCTAGTATTGGGGGGTGGTGTAAATGTGTCAGCACATGAAACCACTTAGCATAGGGCTTTCTTTCTCCCTCCCCTGGAAGAGCTGTGCTACCCAGATCTCCCTGGCAGGCACTCCTCCATACATACCCTCCACCACAGCTTCATGCCCTGATGGCTGTGCTCTCTGCACTGGCCTCTGCCTGGCTGAGGCCTGAACTTCTCATTATCTGACCTCCTTTTCCTAACAATGGCCACTGTGTGCTAGAAGCAGGAGAAAAGAACAAGATTTTCACAGCAACATCCAGAGCCTGCTCTCTGGTAGTTCTTAGAAAATCGAGAGATTGGGAACATAATGGGTCACGAGGCGCCCCAGTTTTCACTGTGACCACATACCGGCTTACTCAACACACTGACAGCATCAAACTCCCCTGAGAACAGAATTTCAGGAGGACTCTCATCTCAAACTGATTCTCCTTTCTCTACTTGAGTCTGCTAAGAGTCTCCTGAGAACACCAGTGAAGGCAAGGGCAAAGGTGCAGACCTGAGCAGAGGCCCCACCTGGGTCTCATCCTCAGCAGGTGCTCTGGCTGTGCTCTCCAGGTAGACAGTGTCCTCTTGGTCCTGAGACATACGGCCATTGGCCTGTGGGAAGAGAAAGGTGCCATCACATCCACAGAAATATCCTAGAGATTTGCATAGCATGGGCCTCTTTCCAGGTCACACAATGTGCAAAATGTATACCCATTTTCCCAGAAATCAAGACTTCCACAAGAGCATCACACACCCTAGTGTCTAACACCAACTTTGTTAGGCAGAGAAACAATACAACAGATTTCAGTGGACATAGAGCTGCCCTCCAAAAGTGCACTAATTCTGCACACCACTACTGTCAGTTTATTTTCAGCTTGAACCCTCAGGGTGAAAAAGACAGTCGTGGTATCCTTCCATGGCTGCTCTGCTCTCTACTATTAAGTTCTCTCTCTCAACACAGTTCCAAAATAGTCCTCTCTGTAACTAACCAACTGTCCCTGGTACTGCCCCTCAGATGAGCATCTACTAATTTTTCCACATGGCTCATGCTATGCCTTTCTCCTTCGTGCTGAATCTCCCTGGCTTCCCAAGTGACCCTGAGGAGACAGTTTCTAGACCCTCACGACCCTCATCTCTCTTCCAACTGGTTACTGCTGGTTGGTTACTCCAACCAGCTAGGCCCACCGTGACTGAGATATGTCTCAAAATCTGCTCAAATACTGCTTTCATTCATCTAAGAATCTATCAGCCTAAAATTGCAGAAGACATATGCCTAGGCCTGAAGAATTTTATCTTCTCAGAAGTCTAGCTTTTCAAAAGGACTCTCTTGGGTTCTCCTTTAGGAGGTTTTACCAAAGAGTACCCTGAACTGTTTTCTGTCACCACTTATACCACAAACCCCTAACTAGATCCTTTCACCCTCTGTTGCCCCCAGGCAGAAAAAAAGGCAAGGTGTATGCTCACAGGCCTTCCCAGTAGACCCAGAGAATGCCAGTAAAGGGACCACCTAGGAAACCAAACTCTCCCCTGGCCTCAACTGCTCATTAATGCAGGCAAACAGCTAGGAATAGCAGCCCACATCCATTATTTCAGCTACTCAGACTGAGGAAAGAACATGGCAAGTTCAAAACCAGCTTGGACAAAATAACAAAAACCAGTCTCAAAGGGCAGGGAAACAGCAAACAACTACAATGGAAATGAAAAGCAGAAATGCCATCACCAACAAAATGCCAAGTAATGATGAGAACATACATACATATGGGCACGTGTCCAAAACGTCTTCGCCAACACCTCTAGCTTTCTCTAGCTTTATAGCCCACTGGATCCTCCTAGACAGTGTCGCCTTGGTCTTGCTTTGGAGTCTTTCAGAGACTTGCCTGCTCCTAAGTGGATAATTTTTGTCCTTTGTTCCCTAGAAAAAAAAACTGGGCCTTGTGCTACAAAATGTGCTGTCTTTCCAGTTTTCCCACTAAGTTAAAATCCACAACATATTCATTTAATATTTTGTATATTACATGTTTCCTACCCTATCAACTATGGCTAGAGCTCTAAAGGTAAAGGATGGAATCCTGGTGGAGCAAGTATTATGAGACTTCCATTCTGGGTGCAGCTCACTTGTGGACTTAACAACAGTCTTGCACAAGTTTCTGAACTTCTCCATGTCTACTTTTCCTGTTTGTGAAACAGATCTCACCAGAACAGGGGAAGTGAGTTGACTGTAAGGTCCTCTGAAAATCTCAGAACAATGGGACCCAGAGGTGTGATCTGGAAATTTCTGGTTAATGACAAGATGCTTACAATCTTGCCGGGCATGGTGGTGCACACCTGTAATACCAACACTCGGGAGGCCAGGGCAGAAGGATTACTGTGAGTTTGAGGCCAACCTGGACTACGTAGTGAGTTCAAGGGCAGCCTGAACTACAGACCAGTGGGTTCCTGTCTCAAAAAACAAAAAGAAAAGTTTACAGTCTTTTGTTGAAAAATCCACTTGAAGGTTCCCTTAAGGAAAAATAATTTCTCAAGTTTTTCCTGTGGTTCCCCATAAACAGGAGTGCTCCAAAAACCAACCCAGAGGAGGAAAACATAACAAGAGGCAAGACCTGTCCAACAGACCAAGAGCCAGAGCTTAGGAAAGGGTTAAGGTCCAGCTGCAGAGAAATACATGCTCCAGCCAACTAGGGAGCAAAGTGATTTTACTACAGTTAAATTATGTTCTCACGTTGGCTTTTATGCCTCAGTGCCTGTCAAGAGCTGAATCAGGGGGCCCAGGCCTGGCAAAGGAGGTGATCATAAGAGCAGCAGCCATCACATCATGTGTGGGGACCAACAACATGACCACTGTAGTCCTGAGAGCTCTCAAAGCTCGTGAGACATGACAGTATGCTATTCAAGGCTCCCTCTGTCCTAGCAAAATGAAAAGGGCTCAGTATTACTAAGCCCATTTCATTGCTATAGGCTCAAAGTTTGCCCAAGGTGACCTAGGAGTCAGTATGGGGCTGGCACGCAGAGCCTTCTCTGTAGGCATGCAAGCCAAGTTGCCCCAGAAGCCGAGCATCGGATAACAGTTGTTTTTTCTGAGCTAAAACCTCAGTATTCAGGTTTAATTGCAGTGTTGGCACTTTGTGATAAATAAGTGGGTTGTGGGTTGCAGTTTGGGCACTCAGTCTCTAAAAGGTTTGCCACCGCTGTTCTAGGTCCTGATGTGCCCACTACTGCATGGACCATATAAATAGCAAGGTCGCTAAGGCATTTCTGTAGATCTGTATGCCACCATCACTCCTAACACTAAGGTTGACCTCACTTGGCTCCAAGAGCTGTCACATGTTTACTTTAGCTTTCCCAGGGGTTTTTGTGAGAAAAGGCAGAGAATTACTCATTCCTATACCCTCATGCCTTGTTCATGATTTGGTCAATGTGCTGCTCTTGGCGACCATTTCCAGGTCCCATTGGGATGACAATAAAGCTGCCTACAGAACAACATCATTCCGGCCACTGCCACTCCCACAGTGACCAGGAGAGCAGTAGGGTCCTGTCTCTTCCCACTCTTTCTTCCCTCCTCAGGGTCCTTTTGTTCCGTGTGCCTGGTGATGTTTAACAAGGAATCAAGTTCCCAGTCCTGCTAAGGAAGACCAAAAGGTGAGCTGGAGAAGAACAAAACTAAATTTGGAGAGTTCATGGTGAGTTTCCTCAAAATATTTCTGGAATAATGTATTTTGTAATGTCTAACCAAGATATGATTAAAAACAACCCTACAAAAATATGGTTTCGTGTATATTACCTCTGAAGAAAGCCAAAACATGAGCCTGGTGTCCAGAAATCATCACCTGCATTCAGAGCCAGGAAGGCTTCAAATCACTAAGGCACTTTACCTCACAGCCATTCCGATAGTATAGAGGGGAGGGGTGTGAGCTCTCCACTGGCATGGGTGTACAGTGACTGCACATGGTCGTACCTGATTTTCCTGAGCCTGGGCTGGGGGAACAGAGGTGGCTTGTGCAGGCGAAGAAGGGAGGCTGGGTGAGGTAGGAGGTACTGTGCCGGTGTGAGGCTGACTCAGGAAGGCCTGCTGCTCAGGGAAGTCTGGGGACAAGGTGGGGACACGAGTCCTGTCCTCCTCAGAGATTACAGGTTGCTGACCAAGCACCAAGAACACCAGCTCTTCTTTCTCCCGGCACATTTCGGTAGAGATGTCATGGAGGCTGAGGTAGTCCCTCAAGTCCTTCACTTTCATCTTCATGAGCTCTTCCCGCTGAAAGGCTGTGGCTCTGAACCGCTGGCAGAGAAGGCAGAGGCGGGGCCCATTCCCCTCTTGGCTTGAACAGGTCATGCAGAAATGTTTCTTACAGTCCAAGCAGGTCTGCTGCTTAGAGCAAGAGACAGAGTAAGGCATGTCAGCTCAAGAGACCGAGACAGACAATGCGGTGGGACTTCGGGGCCACCATGCCTGCCAGGGCCAGCTCTTGTCACTCTTCACTGAACTGTCTCCTGAATGCAAGAGTGCACGCTACCCTGGAGATCTCCAATTCAAACCACTCAGGCCCACAAGCACGAGGACCCAAGATCGATCCCCGCTACCAAATTGACAACAGCAACAACAACAACAAAAACCACTCAGAGGCACCAGACCTGCTGTGTGTATCTGTCTGTTCATGTAGCTGTAAATTAACACTACCAGCTTTGGAATTTAAAAAGCTCTGCATTCTTAAGTCTCCCTCTACTGTTTCTTGTGATGTCACCTTGGGTATGTAACACCCTTTCTGGTGCTAAGTTTTCACACTGGTAAAAGAGTAGAGGAGGGATGATAATAGTACTTACCTCATAGGGCTGTTGCAAAGATTAAGAAATAATGCATTAAATACATCTGACATATAAGGAGTCCTCAGTATGTGTTAGCAGGTTTTTTTTGTTTTGTTTTGTTTTTTGGTACCGGGGATCGAACTCGGGTCCTTGTGCTTGCAGGGCAGGCAGCAGAACCACTGAGCTAAATCCCCAGCCCCAGCAGTTTTAATCATTACTGCTAAGAAATACTGGCTAGTGATAAGAGCCAAGATTCAAATCCTAATTTGTCATTCTTTCTGCTTTACTGCTGAGGAAAGAAAGCAAATTGTGAAGGTTATGGTGTAGTGGCTGTTACTATTAGTAATAATTATATTGAGGAGGTACTATGTGCTACCTACAGTAGCTTGTCATTTAATTCTCAAAGCACCCTGCAAAGGAGGTATTAGGGGTCTTCGTGAATCACAAAGCAACTGAAGGCTAGGGAGATCAAGTATTGTATTCATGGTCGACAGTAAAGGCAGAGCTGAGAGACACTTGAGGTCTGAGTCCAGTGCACATGATCTCCCCCACCTGGCCATGCTGCCTCACTCAGCCCCATCCCAGCTGCCAGCAGTACTGAGTCCAGAGCCTCTGTCTTTCCATCTCCAAACTGCCATGCCAATGCCTTCCACAGAGACTGGTGCCAGGCTGCCCTCCTCAGCAAGGCCACTCACAGTGCTAGGAAGTATGTGGGGCATAAGGTCATTTCCATGATAAATATTTAGACCCTACCAGAGACCCTGGACATTAGGTTGCTCTCCTCTGTGAAAGCAGAGTGTCTCAGGCAGGCAATGAGCATGCCTGACAGCAGTTACTCCCACGGTAAAAGGCAGTGCACCACGGCTTGCTCAGCCCAGAGGAAGCAAACCTTTGGCCACTTACCCCACAGGCTGCACGAGCACAGGAACGTCTGGCTGAGCTCTCTTCCAGTGAAGGGCAGGAGTCACCCTCACAAAAGAGAGATAATTCCCGAGATAATCCCCTGGGATAGTCTTTGAGGGCTCCGTGATCCTCTAAAGAAGTTAAAAACTTTTCATCCCATGGTGACTTAAGAATTAATCTACACGTTTCTGCCTCCTCTTTCTAAATATAGAAAGCTGTTCAAGATACAAAAGAATGCTCGAGACAAAGATTCTCACAGTTAAGGGCACAGGAAACCCTTGTATGTGGCTGACGTAAAAGTCTGCACAGTTAAGGCAGTTACAGTTAGTATCTGTTCAAGTGTCATTCATACAGTAAAGGGAAAAGGACCTAAGGTTTACGATCCAGTTTTGGCTATTAATAGTTAGAAGGCATTGCAAAGGGACACACACAAGTTCCTTTATTCTCCATACAGTTATAACCACCCCAATAAACTGTGCAGAGACTGACAGAAAAAGACACAAGGCTTCACTATCACAGTTAACAGTTCTAGGACCAATAACCATGCAGGTGGAAAATGGATGTTTTGGGGTAATGTGTTCATTCAGATCTAAAATTTTCCTATGGGGAGATGAAATGTCTAGGACGGCTGACAGTGAAATGAAGAGGCTTCAAAGCCATGAGGCTGTGATGCTGACATGGAGCATTACTTAAGTCAATTCAGTCTGACAAGACCTAGCTCGACACAATTATAAAGCCTGTGTTGCTCAATCAGCCAGATCCAAACAACTCTCTAGTCGTTCTGCAAATGTGTGTGGCTTGTTGGATGCAAGATCAGAATGCAAAAGCAGCAACGCAGCTTCTCTTACCCCCTGCCCACTAGGGACTCTGAAGTCAGCCAGCATCTAAAACACACTCTAAAGGAACAGGACAGTGCTCTGGGCTAAAATCTCAGTGTGCAGTGGCAGGAGAGAGCAAAGGGAGACGAAAAAAAGAGCCATCAACTAATGTGGGCAGAATGAGCAAAGGAAACGTGTGTGTATAAATTCTAGCAAATGGTTCAAACTAGCCAAGTAACAAGATAGCATGAAAGATGAAACGGGAGGCAGCATGTCTGCAGAAATGCCCAGAGTATACTCCAGCTACCGGCATCGGAGCTGGCAGTGGCGCCTCAGGCAGGCAGTGCCCTTGAGGGACCACACATTGGGTGCTTTGCTTTCTCTACTTTCACAATCTGCCCTTCCTTTCCCATCCCCTCCTCACCTATGTGTCCAGTACTGCACAGGCCCACTTTCTCACCTTACCGGTCTAAGAACTACTAGAAGTATCATGTGAAATAACTTATATAAATGTTAGCATAAGGTGGACACCAAAAGGTAACAGAAACGCCTTTTATGCTCTTTCCCCTCTGCCTCATTTCTCAGCTTTTCCCAGCACTGAAGAACCACTCCCCTTTTTTTACTCAGATCTGAATACCACTCTTGTGTTCCCAACTACAACTGCTCCCCCTTCAGACTGGCCCAATTAAACAAGGTGAGTGCCAAAACTCACCCCAAAATTGCCAGGGCCACTGCTACCCTACAGGCAGGCTTGTGGAAAAATGACAGCCTACCATTTCTCTCTAGGCCTGGAAACTTGGGGAATGCAGAGGACATGTATGTTCTCTCTAAAAGTCCTTAATGTTATCTATGCTTTGCACACAAAGAGCACACAGGAAACATAGACCATAATGGGGGGTTAAAAAAAAGAGTCAGATCCGTGTAATCATCTCAATTCAACTACTTCTAGAAAAGACATTTTAAAAGCCTCTGGCTAGCTGGGCATGGTGGTACACACCCGTAATTCCAGCACTCAGGAGGCTGAGGCAGGAGGATCACTGTGAGTTCCAGACCAGCCTGGGCTACATAGTGAGTTCAAGGCCAGCCTGAACTGCATAGCAAGACCCTGTTTAAAAAAAAAAATGCAAAAACCTCTGGCTGTTAAATGGTGAAACCTTAAGATAACAACGCTGGTACACTTAAGCGTGAAATTACAAATGAAAAATTCTTGTAAGAAAAAACATCCTTAATATTCACAAAATTCCCTGTGAATTGCACAAAATTAATTTATACTTTTATAGCAAGAAAATATTGTACCAGTCTTTCATCATCTAAATTGAAACATCTCCCACAAAGCTCTTCTTGCCATGGTGACTTTTCTCTGGCCTCACTGTGTGCTGTCTGTTGCCACCACCTTCCTATCCAACCACAAGCTCTGCAGTCAGCAAGGATGGCCTCCTCCACCTTTTCCCTAGCCCAGGCAATGCCTGACACACACAAGATATTTAGAAACTATTTCCAATTAGTAGAAAACACGCTGCTAATTTTAATCATTGCCATGGACCTAGGTACATGGACCTGTCACCTGTAATCTTCAACTTGACATGCCAAATATTTCCTGGGAAGTAGCTTTAGAGTCCAAGCCCAGGGATTGGATCCCAGCTCTGTCATTGAACAGCTATGTGATCTTGGGGTACACTGAACCAGAGGAAAAAGAATAAATACTTTGATGTCTCTTATGCTATTTGCCAGGAACTTGACATGTAGCTTTCTTTTTAAATTTTAAGCCTCTTTATCATATGCAAAATGGGATTTGGTGGATTCTAAAACCTATTTATCATGACGATTAAATAAAAAAAATATACCAAGCAGGCATAGTAGCACACGCTTGTAATCCCAGCACTCGGGAGGCTGAGCCAGGAGGATCACCACAAGTTCGAGACCAGCCTGAGCTACCTAGTGAGTTCAGGACCAGCATGGACTACATAGCAAGACCCTGTCTCAAAAAGCCAATAAATAAGTAAATAAACAAACCAAACAAACAATAAATAAATGAATGAATGAGGAAAAAAAATACCTAAATTTTTTTAAATCTAAAAAAAATTTTAAAACTTAAAAATCTAAGTCTTAAAACAATTTCTTGCATATAGCAGATGGTTTTAGAAGTATTACTTCCTTTCAGTTTCTCATTATTACCATCTTAACCTCATATCCTATCATTCAGCTGCAAAACTCCTGTTCTGCAGGAGAGAGAATGTGCTGCCTCTTGGCTCTGGCAGTGGGAAAGCTGCACCCACACTACCACCCAGCCAGTGATTCCACTTCCTGCTTGCTGATTGGGAAAGCATGGCCCCCAAGGACTTCAAATGAAGTCCACTATGATAAATAGGTTCCAGCTTTGTCTGCTAAGGTCTTCATGTACCTGAGGCATCTTGATACTGTTTTTTGATAATAAGAACAGGTTAATCTGCAGTCAGGCTTTTTTTTCTTTTTTGGTACTGGGGAATGAACCCAGGGCCTTAGTACTGAGCTACATTCTCAGCCTCCCCTTTTTATTTTTATTTTTAAATTTGAGACAGGTCTTGCTAAGCTGATAAGTTACCCAGGCTGGGCTAAACTTGCAATCCTCCTGCCTCAGTTTCCCTGGGGACAGTCAGTAGTTTCTGAATAGTGGTTAATGGAGGAAACAACATTGGTACCTGTTCTGTCCAAGCGCTGTGCTGGGGATCCTTCCTAGCTTATCTCTTTTTATTCTCAAACCAGTATATGGCTACTCCTGTCATCCCCACTTCACTGATGGGGAATCTGAATCTCAAGAGAGGCTAGTTCAGTCATACAACTAGTATCTGGCAAATCTGAGGTCTGAATTCAGGTCTAATGTTCCAGATCTATGCTGAGATGGTTTGCTTTCACTTGAATAGTTGGTCACGAGATTTTTGTGAAAGGCACAGGCCTGGGTGGCTAGCCCTGCACAGGGAAAGGCCAGGTGGCGGGTATTTTGCAGTTTGGTCAGCAGGGTGGCCTAAGGGCCCAAGGCTATGGGGCACAGCTGGCTGAGAGGGCAGACTCACCTTCCGGGATGTGCTTGCAAAGTGGGCCCCACAGGCCTTGCAGCTCGGTTCAGAGCCTGTTGGGGAAGGGAAGGAGCTGTACCCTGGGTTGGAATAGGCCTGTGCCCTGGCTCCCTGTGGTGGTGGGACCTCCTCAGGCTGTCCATCCAGGCAGAACCAGTTGCAGCAGGTTGCCCACATGATAAAATCTGGTACAGGGGAGGAAGGAGGGAAAAGTCAGAATTAAGACACCCAAATCCTGCGGTTTCCCTTCCCAAGGGCACAGATGAGCAGGGATACTCAGTCCACACCTCCCAAGCTAAGAAGAGGACAAGTTTTCAGGGGCCATGGATTTCTTGCTGCCTCCTCTACCATTACAGTTGCTATTCCATCTAAGAGGTAAGTATAGATACTTGATCTGCCCAGGAAAGGTGGGTTGGCAACTTGATATACTAGTTTTGTAAAGCTGCTGAGTCTTGACTGGATTTAATCTGAGATCTAACTTCACATAAATGTTTTCTTACCTTAGTAATTACAACTAGCTTAAAACCCACTTTATTCAGGAATACTCCCTTATCCATAGGGCTCAGACAGAACTCTATCATACACACTTATGCACACACACACACACACACACAAATTCCACACTCGCACTGACCATGTGGAGGATATATCAGTTCCTTTATACAGAAAAAGCAAAGCCAAGTGCGTGACGCATACCTGACATCCAGATACTCTGGAGGCTGAGGTGGAACGATTGCTTCAGCCCAGGAATTCAAGACCACCCTGAGCAACATGGCAAGGCCTTCTCAAAACAATTAATATAGATAGATGAGGCAACCAAGATTCAAAAATATCAAATACATACCGAATATAGAGCTCTAAGAAGTAGAGATAATTTAATAAGATACTAAAAATGCAGGTCTTCTAATTCCAAACCTAAGGTCTTTTTACCTATTCTAGGTTGTCTCTTGATTTCCCCTCCCACCAGCCAGTAGAACTAATCATTCTTACATTTGTACCTCAATCTTAGACAAACTTTTATGACGGCACTAATAATAGTTTCTTACACAGATAATCTCTTTTCTATCCCCAAGCCATAAGTCCCTCTAGGGCAGGGTTATTCCCATTTGTACTGTACCCTAGCAACGTACAAGTAGTCCATACTCAATGAACATTTGCTTCGTTGCTCAGTGCCTCCAAGGGTTTATGAAGAAGTTCTGGATTATTATTCCCATTTTATATATCAAATACAACTACTGGGGGCTGATGATTTTTTTTTTGGTACTGGGGATCAAACTTGGGACCTTGCACCTGCAAGGCAGGAGGCAGAACCACTCAGCTAAATCCCCGGCCCCTGAGGGCTGATGATTTTTATGATCACAAAACAAAAAGGTTTTAGTCACTCAACCGTCACAACAGCCTAAAGGTGGTAAGGGGATCCACTAAAATCCAAGCACTGCTGGGATGTATGTGCGTGTTTTCCACAGCAGACTAAGGCAGTCAATATGAATATTCTGAGCCTGAATTCTCTGCTTACAGAGATAACAAATGAAACATTTGTTTCATGAGTTGTTCAATAATTGGTTCACACAAAGGAATGGTGCTTTCTTCTCTAGCTCCTGATTCACTGTTTTAACAAAAGCACATTCATAGTTCAAAGGCAATGGTAAGCTGGAAGGAACTAAGAGACCAGCCAGCTCAGTGCTGGTCATTTTATAATAGAAAACAATAGAGCCCAGTCAGAGGAAGTAACTTTCTGGGTCACACAGGTTATAAACCGAGGCCTCTTGATCTTTCCAACATGGCCTCCGATGCACCTGTGACATAATTCATTCTCTTCTGTAGGCATTTCTGATTAATATCTGTCTCTCCCACTTGCCTGTGACCCTTATGAGAAAAGAAAATGTGTATTTTTTTTTTGGTACCGGGGATTGAACTCAGGTCCTTGCGTTTGCACAGCAGGCGGCGAAACCACAGAGCTAAATCCCTGGCCCCAAGAAAATAAAATGACAGTCTTTCAGTGCCTTGTTAGAGAGATGGCTCAACAAAGACTACTGAACAAATGAATCATATGCAATATTTAAATCTCAACTGACCACACACTTGTTCAATTTCCTGCACATCAAAAACATTTTTCTCTGATTCAGTATTACTTGTCTGAAGACTCTTAAGTTCCCAGAACTCAGGGATCTAAGCTACTTTGTTTGAAATTAGCAGTTCACATGGAAAATGAAACAAAGAGTTTTTCACACAATGTGTATGTGTGATAAAATAAATGAGTTCTTTGTGGCGAGAGAATGAGGACAATAGAGGAAAAAGGAATTTGTAATTCTTTAAATCTCATATTGATAAACATATCTAGGACAGTGTGCAATGATAAAAAAGAGCAGAGGGTCTGGAATCAGTCCCACTCAACTGTTTATGCACAGTGTTACCAACCTCTAACAAATCACACCCTTTCTGTACTTCATGGTTCTCCTCTGGACATTTTGCAAGCTGTGAGGCACTATTAAATAATAGCTGTTGCTATCTGCATTGTAACAATGCCTTTTCTCTAGGAAAGCAAAAATAGAAGGTAAAGCTAGAGATTTCACCAGGTTACCATTTGGTTTTCTGGGTTTGTCTCCTGCAACAGGGGCGAGGCTGTAGGTGCTTCACTAACTTCTGTTAAAATTGATACTCATTCATACATGCATGTAGCCTTATTGAAGCCTTTCCAGTGCAAGGTGAGTAGGTTTGGTACCTAGCCCCACAGAGTTTGTTGGTCTAGTAAGAGAAGTGGAAATGTAACACTCAAAACTGGAATTTCAGGATGGTCAATATTTAAATCTCAACTAACCACATACATTCAATTTCTTGCACATCAAAACATTTTTCTCTGATTTCCTGGAGCCCAGGACAAATCCAACCTTTAGTAGAGGTTTGTACAGTGTATAGGGTGGGGCATCTAGTAGATTACAAAGATGGAAATGATCAGCTCTGTAGGGACAGAGGCACGACTAGAAAAGACTTTTCAAAGTGCCAAGGCTTGATGTGGAAGTAGATGGATATTTACCAGAAAGTCAGGAATAGGAATTTTAAGAAAAGGACAAATGACATGTGTCATGGCATCAGAAAAACTACAAAATGATGCTAGATGTGGTGGCACACACTTGTAAATCCCAGCTATTCGGGAGGCTAAGGCAAGAGGATAGAACATTTGAGGCCAGCCTAGGCAACTTAGCCAGACTCTCTCAAAACAAAAAAATAAAAAGGGCTGGATAAATAACTCAACGATACAGCACTTACCTAGCTTGTGTGAGGCCCTGAGTCCAATCCTCAGTGCCTCAAAAGAAAAAAAAAAAGAAACTACAGAATGCCCAGCTGGGTGAAGGGTAGGGGAAGGTTGGGGTAGGTGAAGGTACACAAGTAAACAAGGAGCTATGGAAAAACCTTGTATTCCATGGTAAGGAATCTGGACACACTGAGGCATTTAGTAATAGGACTCACTCGGGCATTAGGCAGTGAAGTTTTATGATTTTATTTGCATGTTAGAGTGGACTTACATCAGTAAGCACAGTGAAAGACAGATCAAGGGGAGGGTTGAAGCAGAAAGCTGCTACAGTAATAGAAGAAAGATAAGAGGATAAGGGCCTAAACTGGTGACAAACCTACAGCACGTGTGCTGCAGCAGGCTGCTTGTTATCATTGAAAGCTCTAAAAGGTTCACCAATGAGGTAGGAAAAGATAAGAGCTAAAAGGGGGCCCAAGACAAATCCAAGGGTCTCAATTACACCAAAGATAACTAGTGGAATAATTTACTGAGATAAAGTCTTCAAGAGGTAGCGCATACATGTGTGTGTGTGCATGCATGCGCCTGTATACATGTGCGTGTGTGTGTGTGTGTGTGTGTGTGTGCAAGAGAGAGGGGCAGGTTAAGATGGTGAGCAGAGTAAATACCCAGGGTTGTGCTGGTGCAGACACAGGACCATGTACAAGTCTGGGCTGAAGATAAAGGTGTGGGAACCCTGGGCCTCCTAAAAGTACATAAAGCCAGAGTGGTCTGGGTCAGAAAAAAGCGGACATTGAGAAGGGCAAGAGAGGAAAGCCAACCAGCAGAGCAGAGGGAGGAAGGAGGCTCACAGGAAGTGCAAGAGCGATTTGAGTTTCCAAGGAGATTAACAGTACTGTTCAAATGACACAGAGAACAGACTGCAACAAGAAATGCAAAATGCCCAGCAGACTTATTTAGGAAAGTGTCAAGGTGTTGAACACTAAGAAGCTGACTGATACCCCATAGGTTGGAAAGCAGATAAGGGAGAATTCACAAGACTCCAAGAATATTCCTTCAAGAAACTTTACTGTAAACAAAGAGAGAAGGCAGTAGCTGAAGAGGATCCAGGGCCACAAAGATAAATGTAGACACATTCAGGGACTGAAGAGGAAACCCCAGAAGACTAAGACTATAAGAAGGGAAGTTGGTGGTTAATGAGGGAAATAAGGGCCAGAAAGGATCAAGTGATTGAACTGGGAAGTAGCCTCCTCCTAGGCCAGAGAAAGGTCACCCTTTTCACCAGAGTGGAGTGGAAGAGAAGGCAGATGAAACAAAAGAGAAGTTTACAGCATTAGCAACAAGAGTAAGATGAAAGAATGAAATGGAAAGGGGGGAGGGTGGTTAGATTTAGCCACAAGATCTTTTCTTCCACACAAGGAATATGCACATTGTAGATTTTTCCTAGGAGGTAAGAACTCTGCCACAAAATGGGTAGACCCTAGGGCCAGGGATTTAGCTCCGTGGTTTTGACGCCTGCCTCGCAAGCACAAGGACTCGAGTTTGATCCCAGGTACCAAAAAAAAAAAAAAAGGGCAGACCCACTTGGTAAAGCATAATCAGTAGGAAAAACTGGAAGGCTTTATATATGTGCTTTACCAAGCTGTGTGGTAAGCACTGTGTAACAAACGGTGGTAAGCACTGTGTAACAAACGGTGCAGAGGGATGAGACCATCAGAGTAGACTAGTGAAAGCAAAGAGGTACACTTTATTTACTTTGGCAGAGATGGACCAATGGTAAGCAAGAGGCCGTCAGTACCGAACAAAGAAAAAGCAGGAAGCTTTACAGGGCATTGGAAGAGAGGTCTGGCACATCTATCATGTATAGGGGTCAGAGCAAATATTTGTGGTCAGGGTCCGTGCGGTGATCAAGGCAGATGTATGGATACTTTTAGGTGACTTGGTATTGAAAAGATTCTGTACTCTGTAGTTGTTAGCTCTATGTTCTGTGTTCTATCTGCTCAGAGACAGCACGGGCAGGCACAGCATCAGCTGCCTATTTTGTGGTTTTTTGTATCTTGTCAAACTGTAGCTTGGAATTAAAGAGCATATTCATTAACCATTTCATGACCAAGTCAATCCTGACACAGTGGGGACAACAAGAAGCAAATGGACAAGATCCCTGTTTGAGGAGGCTGGGGGCCCAGAAAGGCACTATATAGCTCCACTCTGCTATCCTAATACAGGATCTAGGAAAGCTCCTCTGCTGGGCACCAAAAGAGTCCATCTTTCTGCATATTATCTTCCTCCCTCTAATCTCTAGGTGAGAGAAGTCATCAGGCTACTCAAGTATCTGGCTGTGCTTTTTTTTTTTTGGTACCGGGGATCGAACTTGGGACCTTGCGCTTGCACAGCAGGCGGTGAAACCACTGAGCTAAATCCCCGGGCCAAGTATCTGGCTATGCTAAAGAGGAAGATTTGGCCCTGACAGAAGACTTGAAATCCACCATCCTGTGATCCCATAGGCCCCATGTTCAACTAGAGGATGATGTCTTACCCTGGTTTTATGCATGTGGGGAAGAGGGTCACTGTGTAGGGAGAAAGGGAGGTGGCAAGAGTTTCAGTGCTAAAATACCTCAGCCCCATTTAGTCTAACAGAATGGGTTCGCCAATATCAGCAGACTAGGTTTTTGCTCTTTTCTGACAGATATTTAAACATTAGGAAAGAAACATTTGCTAATGTGATCAGCTGAAAGTGCTCTCCTGGGGCTGCTGATTAAGCGCAGTGGTAACGCACTAGCACACTTGAGGTTCTGGGCTTAATCCACAGCACAGCAAAAAACAAAAAAAGTATTCTTCTGCCAAACTGGTAAGGTCTAAGCAAAATGACAACTGTACTCAGGATAATTTCAGGGGGAAAGAGGTTGTAATGTTAACAATGCTACGCAAGCTAAACACTTTTTCTTCTCATCCTCAGCCTTCAATAGATACACATGGCATCTGATTATGTTGCTAAAGGACTGAAAGTGGAACCAATCATGGGGTGTGGTAAATACTACACTTAAAAAAAAACAACTCTCTGACCTGCAAACCTCTTTTGGAGCTTAAAAAGAAAATTAGTATCACATCTTCACTGAGGGCTTGAAAATTCCTTCCCCAACTTGCCTCACTTTTTTTTTTTCTGGTACCAGGGATCAAACTCAGGACCTTGCACTTGCCAGCTTCACTCTCTTCTGAACAGATGGACTTGGTGACTGAATCCTCAAAAACAGTCTGCCTGCTCTCCTACTGCACTTGCCCATGGTGGAGAAAGGCAGAAGATGCTGGGCTAGGGTGAATAAGAATGTACTATTCCGGGGCCGGGGATTTAGCTCAATGGTTCTGCTGCCTGCCTCGCAAGCGTAAGGACCCGAGTTCGATCCCTGGTACCAAAAGAAAAAAAGAATGTACTATTCTGGGTGGAAGCACCCTTCGGGAAGAGGCAAAAATGGTTAGTGAGCACCTGAGGTTTGTCGGCTAAACAGGCAAATTACAGTGTTGACAATAGGGTAAGATAAGTGACCTATAACCTCTGGGCTGCATAGAGTCACAGGGGCAAGAGGGTAGATAATGTGAGTTCTCCCCACTAAGTTCCAGGTTCCTAAGTAAATTTTTTTTTTTTTTTTAGAGACAGGGTCTCATATATCTTAGACTGGCCTTGAGCTCATTATGTAACTCAAGCTGGCCTTGGGCTTGCAGCGATCCTCCTGCCTAAGGCTTCTGAGAGCTGGTATAAAACAATCTGCACTTGTTAATAATTTAAACTGGATCAGAGGCTGCCATGGGCTTTCCCAAGAAGAGGGCAGAATAAAGGGTTGCAGTGGTTTTACAGTATCACTCTAAAACCACTCAAAACAAAGGCAATAAAGTCCCCAAGGTTCTTATCCAATCTATTCTGCTTTTAATTAACTGTTCTGTGTATCAAAGTGGTTGTGCAACAACATGCTTTACATAGATGCAAAGACAGTTACATCCTGGGATTAATACACTTACAGTGGGCCCACTGCATAACTGTACAGAAAACCCTTGAAATACCTAATTAAAATGCCCCAAAACTTTTTGACATGTCTGGATGACAAGCCTTACAGAATCATCTAATTTGCTGAGGGCAGCACTACTATTGTCACTGATGTATTCCTGGAATGGTTAAAACCATCTATGCTGTAAGCACATGAAGAAAAGTATCCCATGTGATGGATAGTTAATACAGAATGGGCTTAGCTTCATCTTGTATATTATCCTTAAAAAGCAATTAAAGTACAATTGCAAGGCTTTGAAAGGAAATGCTATGAAAGGCCTATCAATATGACTTAGCTAAGCCTCCCTGAAAAACTGATAAGTAATTACATATTTTGAGGAAACACTCATTCTCTACTTGGAAGACTGCTTCTTATTTGCCAGGCACTGAATAGGAACTTTACCTAGTGTTATCTAATGTGATTCTGACAAGGCAGGTTATTTTCTTATTTAGGTGAGAAAACCAAGGTTCAGAGAAGTACCTTGCTAAAGGTCACAGCCAGAGGGTAGCAATGTCAAGATTTGAACTTACCTCACTAAAACCCTGAAGCCTGTGTTCCATAGGACACAAGAGAAATATTTCTGATTTTATCAAAATATCAGTCTGTCTACCCTGCAGCCACTTCCCCTCTGGCTCTAGCTCTCTATTTCTACTAGAACTTTCTTTCCTGTCAGCTACAGGCATGCCCCCCACAATCTCCCAGGTTTAAAAAACTTTTGCTTGTCATAAGGCAAATACAAATTACAAACACCCACTGGAAGCGCTAAAATAGAAAAGAAATTCTAGCAAATGGTGGTAAAGTTGTAGAACTACTGGAACTCTAACATTGCTGGTGAAAGTATACATTAGTACAACCAAT